TCAATAACTTAAATTGTTAAGCGTTGTGGCAACGTTAGTCTTTTATTTGCCATGGTAAACAGATTTTTGTAATTTTTGGCCTAATAACTTAAAGAGCAGAGTAAATTTCAAACTCAATTTACTCGAAAACCATTGGAAATATCGATTTGGACAAAGATAATATTTTTTACGTAAAATTGTTAAGATTTTATAAATCTGTAGAGAAAATTGTAAAAAAATTGAAATAAAAAAAATTACGTGTCGAAAACCCCCTTCACCAGCCTAAATGGGACACATATGATTTGCATGTCGAAAAACGGAGTAGCCCATGTTATTTAACGTAAAAAGTTATGTAAGACCCATAATTTTTTTTCTATTTATTTGCGACCGTTTTGTCAATAACAGAAAAAAAAACCTGTTTTGTTCGAGTCCTTTTAAGGTCATATAACTTCCTAAGGGTGCGTTTTAGGGCACATGTTAAAGGAACTTTTTGGCTTATTTTAATGAGTTATAAACGTCGCAGAAGTTTGGAACCTTATTTTAGAAACACCCTGTATAACTTTTGTTCTGGTTTATACGTAAAAACCTTCCTAGATATTTCAAAGAATATATTTTTCGAATATCAAAACCTAGTGTCTGGGAAACCAGTGTCTTTAGACTACTAATTAATTAATATTTTTATATAAACCGATCCAAGGATGAATTAATCCTGTACAGTGTACAGAGTGTGAGGAAAGGAAAGTGTCATAAAAAAAATATGATCCTTTCTCAACAAGTACTAGATTAGTGCACATGAATTCTATCCTAAAACTTGTCCTGCTGTGGACTTATGTAATTATTGCAATGGAAATAATATGTGACTAGAGAAATATATGTTCGCAAAGCAAGGTCAATTCTATTAATTTGTTTATTTTTATCACCATTGTCGTATGGAAAACACAACTGCGCTTCACATATATCATGTACAGGGTGGACTCTGTGACAGATTTAGCCGTAGGTGAAAATTGTAGTAAAATGAAAAATGTAAAATTACACCCTAAACATTTTGTTATTGCTTCTGACTTCGTAGACATTTTTGATTACTGATAAGTGGATAATAAAGTCCTTACGCATTGATGAAATACCGCAATCACTCCCCATTTTAACCTAAAATCCCTATTGCTAACCTTGAAATACGAGTATACAGGGTGTTGTCAAAAGAAGTGGGACAAATGGTACCGTTGAATCTACATCTAAAAAGGACACTTTTTGCATAAAAATTTTAAAAAATTTTTTAGAAGTCGCTCAAGATTTTAAAAAATTTCCAAAATCGTCAAAAATTGATTTTTTTAAAAAATTTTTCTAGTTATTTTATCATTGTCTAGGTTGAAAAAAATCCCGATTCTGAGAATTTCAAATCGATATTTTAATTTGTAAAGGTCACTCATAATTATTTTAACTTTCAAAGTAGTGTATACCTAAAATGTTTTCGAGCGACCTAAAAATAAATATTAACGAACTAATAATTTTTTTTATCGAATTTGATGAACAAAAGAATATAAATAAATCACGAGACACTTAAATTTTAAAAAATTAAAAAATTATAAATATTTGATACTCACAGTGCGGTAGTAAATTTTGCCTCGAAAGATTTTTTAAGTGTCTCCTCATTTATTTCTATTCTTTTGTTCATCAAATTCAAAAAAAAATATTAGTTCGTTGATATTTATTTTTAGAGGTCGCTCGAAAACATTTTAGGTATCTACACTACTTTTAAAGTTAAACTAATTATGAGTGACCTTTAGAAATTAAAATACCTATCGATTTGAAATTTTCAGAATCGAGATTTTTTTCAACCTAGAAAATGATAAAATAATGAGAAATAAAATTAAATTCTAGACGATTTTGGAAATTTTTAAAAATATTGATTGACCTCTAAAAAATTTTTTTTGAGCTGAGTTTTGGGCTCTTAAAACATGATAAAACTAACATATTTTCCAAGATACACGAAAAAAAAATATTCATTTTTTTTTTGCCACTAATGTAAGTATACAGGGTGTTAAAAAAAGAGTGTAAAATATTTAAGGAGGTAATAGTATGAACCAAAATAAGCAGAAAAGTCTTAATAACCATGGGTCCGCAAAGTAACGGTTGCAGAGATATGGAATGCTTTATGTTTTTTAGTCCCTTTTTTTATTTTGCAAAAACGTTGTGTATTTTCTTATAATAGTTAGTTGATGTTTAGTGAAATAAACAGTACGTATTTGACAGTTGTTCTCAGTGCACAAGTTTTCTTTCGCTATGGCTGGTTACTCTAACGCAGAATTAACAGACATGCATTTCATGTATGGTCGTGCTAATGGGAACGCCACCGAAGCGCGACGTCTTTATGTTGACGCTTATCCAAATCGCCAGATTCCTTCACAACGCATGTTTGGAAGAATTCACCAAAGATTGCGTGATACCGGTTCCTTGAGCAAACAGTGCCATTTATCCGGAAGACCAAGGTCGGTATCCACTCCTAGAGCAGAAGAAGAAATTCTAGCACTGGTAGAGCAGAATCCAGGTACGAGTGTGCGGAGAATATCAGCCGAGGTAGGAATTAGTGGTCCTCTTGTTTGGAGAATCCTTCACGAGCAACTGCTTTATCCATACCATGTGCAACGAGTACAGGCCTTAAATCCAATAAATGATCATCAAGCACGTTTGGTTTTTTGCCGCTGGTTTCTACGTCATGATGCTGAAGACCCTCGTTTTCTTGCAAACATTCTTTTTACTGATGAGGCCGGGTTCACAAGAAATGGAGTGTTTAATTTTCACAATACGCATATTTGGGCCGACGAAAATCCTCATGCTCTAATAGAATCTGGACATCAGGCACGTTTTTCATTAAACATTTGGATGGGTATTGTAGGTGACAGGTTTCTAGGTCCTGTTGTTTTACCAAACCGATTAACAGGCGCTGCTTACCTCAACTTTCTGCAGAACACACTGTATGAGTTTTTGGAAGACATTCCTTTGAATCAGAGGCAACAAATGTGGTTCCAGCATGATGGTGCTCCAGCTCATTTTTCCATGGCCGTTAGAGAGCATTTACACCAAACTTTTCCACATAGATGGGTAGGAAGGGCCGGACCTGTTTTATGGCCTCCAAGATCGCCTGATCTGAACCCTCTAGATTTCTTTGTTTGGGGATATTTGAAGACATTAGTGTATGGTACTCCTGTAAATAGCCTGGAAGAGCTGCAGCTACGGATTAATTAAAAGTGTCAAGAAATCCAAACCAAGGAGGGTGTTTTCGAAAGAGTTCGAATATCGTTGAGACGAAGATGTCGTGCCTGCTTGGAAATGGACGGAGGGCACTTTGAACATCTTCTGTAACTTTGTTTTTTGTTTGTTAAAAGTTTCCTTTGTCGGTTTATTCCTAATAAAATAAAATGTTTGAAAAACGAATAGTGGTCCATATCTCCGCCGGACCCATGTTTGTTAAGACTTTTCTGCTTATTTTGGTTCATACTATCACCTCCTGAAATATTTTACACTATTTTTTTAACACCCTGTATATTATAAAATATATGTATGAAATTCCTGAGTTTAACAACGATGTATCAAATATCCATGGCCAATAATTGTTTCTATAATTTTAGTATGCGGAGTTATTTTTGTCACTTACAATTTTTTTCAACATTCCACTCTCTTTAATATTTTCATGCCTTTTTTTAATATTCACTGGAAAAGCTGTCCTACTCAATGTGTTTCATTTTTGTAAAGACCTCAATTAAAAAAATATATATCTAGCGCTCCAAAAAAAATAAAAAATAAAAAGTGATATGATATTTTTAAAACTATTAGATGTTTACAATTCATTCATTCTCTTAAAAAATACAAAAAAAAAATATGTATTTTCGGTTTAATAAATCTTCAATAACCGATTTCGCCCAGTATTTCCGTCAATCTTGTCTCACTCTGTATGTAAGTTCAGATTGTCCATTAATTGTCTAACGAGGAAATATGTGTAGACCTAACCTTATTGCGTTCCTTGCTTGCTTTCAAACCATCCAATATGTGTATGATCGCGGTACAGTCGGCTTCTGAAATTATTTAAATCTATAAAATATAGACTCGAGACGAAATATAAAAATATATTTATGCCAATCTATAAATTAGATGCGTTCGTGTTAGTAATGTTTATAGACATAATAATTTGAGGTAAGGTCAAAAATTATTTATTGTAATAATACGCTCTTGTTTTCTGAATGTATATCAAAATAAAAATATTATGACCGTAAACATACAGGGTGTCCCATTTAAGATGGATTCTTCCATTATTCTGCTAATATGAATAATACAAAAAAGTGTTTTGAATGAAGGTTAAACCAAAACATGTTTTCGCGTTTTAAAATTAACTTCAGTTGTTCAGGATGTGTCATTTCTTCTGGGTGTTACCTAATTTCCTATTTTATATTTCTAATGTAAGGCTTAATTCCATAAAAATACATGCGTTTTGAAACGTACCGTTTCTGTTTTATTTAACATTTTTAAAGGAAATTTTTGGCAGTATTTCAAGCATGAAAAAAGATATATTCTGTGTAATTTACTTATTAATTACGTTTCAAATAAAAAACTAATAATTATGGACCGTCGAAGTTCTAAGTACGGATTCATTAAAGGATAAATTCCTTTATTTTAAGATATGTTGGAGTCTATTTGTTACTGTTAAATTCCGTGAGAACTATGTATATGGTTAAAAAAATTAAAACTCATAGGACCGATCTAAGTGTGTCTAGTCTATCTTTCTGGTTATTTATTGATATCAAGCTTGATCCATGTTTTTCTCAAAGAGGTATATGGATAATTCAAGAAATATGTATCATAATCCCAATTAAAAAGCACCTCTTGAATAAACTGAATATTTTTTGTATAAATTATATTACCAGAGCTATGAAAGAATCCTTCTTAAATAGGACACCCTGTACATGCAGACAGACTTCCATAACAGCAAATAGTTCAAGAAGTTTCTAGGATAAAAATATGCCAATTTAGACCTTAGTATAATATTTTTGCTCCCTTAAAAAGTTCAAAATATTCAAATATGTTTTTCTTTTGATTTTTTAGGATAGTCAATAGTGTGTTTTATTGATGACTTAGTATTAAAATATAGATAATTGTTCGAAATATCACAATAAATACTTTATATGTATTATTTCTGTTTATAATGATATCCTGAACAATTCTCTACCGTCTCAGTACTTACGAATCTTTTCTGATTTATTCGATACAAAATTTATAAATTCCACTCCTTAACTGGTCTTTTTGGTGCCACGGGTAATTTATTGAAATTCTCTGTCACTTTTCACTGCGACAGAAATAGCCAGTTAAATAAAAAAGGCGCTAAAAAATAACATTAATAAATAATTCGAAGCAATACAATAATCTCAAATCTTTAAACTTTATATTTCTTTTAGATCTTCTCTTGCATCAATAAATTTTTTACTACCAGTTGCTAAAAACCGGCACAATGTTGATGATAATTGTCGCAACGATTATAGTGGTGGCTTTCTTTTACTATTACATTAATAAAAAACTGAACTATTTCAAAGACCGTGGCATTACCCAAGGGAAACCTATGTTTTTATTCGGCCACACTTTGGGAGCTATAATACATACACAGACATGGACAGACGTGGTGCAAAGTATTTACGACCAGAGTCCTGGAACCAGGTAAGAACGGAAAACAGAAAGAGTAACGTTTAGTATCTGGTGATTCTGGCTACTCCAAGCGCTTGTTTAATTAAACTGAAGGCTCTCGAGCTTTTCACTCATATTTGACTATGTTTACAATATGTATAAGCCAAATGGAATAAATTCAGTAATAAATAAATGGGGGCGTATTCGAAAAAACGCTCGGATACGCCGACTGGTATTTTTAGTTGCGCATTTTTTTCAACAAAAACTTTTTATACAGGGTATTTTATGTAACAGTGGTCAATACCAACTTTCTTATTTTCTAATACTAGACATGTTTCATGTACAATGTCCTATACCTATCTTCAACTGTTTCGGAAATATTAAGTTTTTCAGATTTATTGCAAAAATTAATATTAAAAAATTAATTATTTGATTACAGAAATTCGCTACAACACACTCAATATGTATTTCCTATTCACCTCTTCATAATGAGAAAGTAAGCAAAAACCATTTCAGGGTTCCTTTTTACTTATATGAAAAAATAAAAGAAAACCATAAATAGTTTGGTTTAATTTTGTTTAAAACGCCTGGCCTTAGCAACGTGTTGTCTGCCTGCATGACAGTAGTTGTCAAGTCGTTTGAATTTCGTTAACTGCATATTAGAAAAATGGTTCATTTACCAGAAATGCACAAAATAACAATTGTACAGATGATTGGTTATAACACACGAACAGAAATGGAAGTTGCTCGCTTATTTCATGAAAGATTTCCAAATTTACCGCCTATATCTCAAGGGACAATTAGTAAAATAGAAGATAAAAAAAGCAGCAGTTTCTCGACCGAATATTTCCAAATCGGTGGATAGGGAAGCGCGGATCGATGGAATGGCCAGCACGATCCCCGGATCTGACACCATTAGACTTCTTCTTATGAGGATATGACAAAAGTATTGTATACAAAACTAAACCCCTCGGCTTCGCTGATTTAAGAAGACGAATAACGCTTGCGATTAGATCGGTCACGCCTGAGATGTTGAGTAACGTTAGAAGAAATTTCTATTTAAGATTAGGATTTTGGTCATCTCCTACATTGAGATTTTTTTTATTACATTATCAATAAATAAACAGTATTACTTATTAGTTTTTGAGTGTGGTGTAGCGAATTTCTGTCATCAAATAATTTTCTTTTTTTAATGGTAATTTTTGGAATAAATCTGAAAACACTTAGTATTTCCGAAACAGTTGAAGATATATACAGGACATTGTACATGAAATATGTCTAGAATTTTTGAAGAATCCAAAAATTGCATAATATACAGGGTATTGCATTTAATCCAAGAAAGCTGGTATTGACCACTGTTACATGACACACCCTGTATATAAAGTTTTTATTGAAGAAAATGCGCAACTAAAAATACCAATCGACGTGTCCGAGCGCTTTTTCGAACACACCCCCATTTATTTATCATTGAATTTATTCCATTTGGCTGACACTGCATATATTTTACCACATCCTAATTTGTACTGTGTTGCTTCTATAATAACTTTTGTGCTTTTATGTATAAAACACATTGTTCGTGCCAAAGAATCATTTTAAAAACGAAACTAAATACCATTGTTTATTTTAGATACACCGGAATGTACAATTTCTACTACCCACTACTGGTCATAAAGGATCCAGAACTACTGAAACAAGTGGCTATCAAGGATTTCGATCACTTCACTGACCATATCACTTTCATGCCAACAGATGGTGATCCGTTATTCTCAAAGAGTTTGTTCGCCCTACAAGGTAAATCTTCAATCTTCAGTCATCTTTATTTTGTCTTTGTCCAAGTACTTGGTTGAGCTTAAATAAATCAAAATAACCTTAATCGATGTTGGCCATTTTACATCATCTCTTTCTAGGTCGGGAATGGCGAGAGATGAGGACTCTATTAAGCCCTTGCTTCACGAGCAGCAAAATGAAGTTCATGTTCAACCTGATAATTGAAATCTCTGAAAATTTCGCGCAGTATTTCCTGAAAAAAGACGAGGATGTTATTGAGGTTGAAATGAAGAATGCATTATCTCGCTTTTCCAGTGATGTAATCGCCACTACGGCTTGTGGGATACAAGTCGACTCTTTGGAGAATCCAAACAACCAGTTTTACTTGATGGGACAGAAGTCTATAGATTTTGGCGGCATCTGGAAGAACATAAAGTTCTTTTTGTACATGTTAGTGCCACCCATCAAGAATGTAAGTTAAATAGTACGATCCGTAGCTTTCGCATATTATGTTCAGAAAATTATATACAGGGTGTTTTCTAAATAAACAAAAAGTCCTAAAAAATGACCACCCTGTTTCATCCCTATTTTCACCCATAATTGTTTTCATATGCTTATCTTAATTTTTCGCTCTTTTTGTATATTTTACCAGTTAGTGACTGGATTAATGATACAAGAAGTGTATATTTTGATACATTATATTACCACAGACCCTCCACAATTTACCTGCTGCAAGTAATATATGTACAGAGATGTATTTAAAAACTTTACAGTTTGGAAATCGTATTACTTAGCTAAAATTCAGAATAAGTGAAAATGGTGAAATCACACGATTATATCGCTTTTACAAATATTTCTTACGGTAATACTTTTTATAAAGAAACATTTGCAACCGTATTTTCATCTTGGAATTATATACAGGGTGATTCAAAACTTATCCGAAAAATAATTCAGGATGTACAGGGGACTCGTACAAATACAATTTTGTAAAGAAAAAACCAAAAAGGGCGGTTCAAAAATGATTTAAAAATAAGCTTTCGCACGGCACTGGAAACTGGCCCACTGTAAAACCTGACCTGGCACAAATGCGTCCGTCACGTCAGTGATAAAAACGGATAAAAACTTGAAAGAATTTCGCAAGGAAAGGAATAAATAGAATTTTATAGCATCTATTTTATATCAGCAAATTCAACTGATTTTGCCGCTATTGTTATTATTATTTACTAAAATTAATTTGTGGTTTTAAAACGATATCCATCTATTCACTCTGGCTTGCTATACACGCAAGCCATTTTTGACACTAACTACTAAAAACCTACTGTAAACACTATAGCAACGACGACTGTAAAATCGGATTTCAGTATTCCGAGTCGCTGAGGCCACGTGGCTCTCCACACGTATTACAAATGACGCTAGAGACTTCAGTTGTCTAGCTATGTAATGGTTGAAAGTACTTCAATAATTTTTTTCTCGGAATCTATAAGGATTTTTCAAACATTTTTTTACGTTATTGACTCCATTTCTCAAGCCGCATCTATTCCCAAATTTTTTTGGATAAATTTGTGAATCGTCCTGTATATTATCTTTTTTTTCAGTCTGCAAAAAAATATGTACCTACGATAAAACTTTTCTTAATTTAATAAATAACATGCTGAAGATAATATGTAAAATAATAAAAGCTTGTATATGCAGGGTGTTTACTAAGTACTTATACAATCTTTAAAGGCTGAATATGTGACTAATTTTAAGATAAAAAGTTCATATGAACATGGGTCCACAAAAGCTTGGTTCTTGAGGTCCAAAAAAAATTGTTTGGTACTTTAAATTATATCTTTGTTCCATAACATAGCAATTTGACGAAATTCAAGAAACTGGGAGTATTAATGATGAGAAACTCAAATATTTACTTAGTTTTTTGTTTAATGATCGAAGGTACCACATACAGTGTTGTACCATAACTTTTTTATGTCGCACTATTCAATTTTACCTACAAAAGATACTCTTAGTATTTGTCACTGAAAACAGCCGTTTTGTAAAAAAAATTAGTCAAAAATTCACCCTTTACCTAAATTGTTAATATGATTTATGTTTTCCGACGGGAATTGTTACAAAACTAGAAAAAATTATCCTGAAAGATTTCCTTGATCATCTAAAAATTGCATAAAATGTTTTTGTGATAACGAGTCTCCGTAATAATCACATTTAATCTGACAAAAACTCTTTCATGATAGTAGATCCCGATTTTAATGTCAGTTTCTGTGAATTTATGGGATGCTGTCAGCGTAAGTGATTTCTTTTTAGGCCGAAAGAAACATTTACTGGTGATTCTTGAAAAGAAACCGGTAACTGAACTGCTTGTAGACGTTCCTTAGACTACGAATATGGTTTAAACACAATGAGACACCCCCATATTTTAGTTTGGCTCGACAACCCTGACTGCCTAGTTCACCAGATCCGATTCCCATGCATTTGTTTTGCTTGGCCGTTGTATCATAATTGATGTTTGGTTTAACACGTTGTTATACAAAAGAAATGTGTAGGGACAAAAAATGAAGGGAATATATGGTGCATCCAAGAACAAACTTTGGTTGCATTGTTATACAAGCTAGTATATTTTTTTTTGAGAAAAGATACATCATAGTATCCTTAGCTCATAACTATTATTAGTACTTTTACTTTTTCAAATATTTCAGATAATGAAAATTCAACTGTTTACCGACGACGTATCCACATTCTTCAGAGGTCTGATAGACGAAGCCATCAAAGTGAGAGAAGAGAAAGGAATTGTACGGCCAGATATGATACATATTTTATTAGAGACACGCAAAGGAACCCAGAAAGAAGAAGAAACTAACGACGTCGACACAGGATTTGCTACAGCTCAAGAATCCCCTAGGAGCCTAGGTAATTTATTTATTTTATCGTGCAGGATGAACAAAAAGGAATGTTTTAGAAAAAGGAAAAGTCAACAAAGTTCTAACAAACGAGGAAATAACCGCCCAAGCCTTGATCTTCTTCATCGCTGGTTTCGACTCTGTGTCATCAGTGATGTGCTTCACCACCTACGAATTGACCGTGAACCAAGATGTCCAAGAAAGACTTAGAGAAGAGGTTTACTCCACTTGGAAAGCATGCAAAGGAAAGCTGACCTACGACGCACTACTCCAGATGAAGTACTTGGACATGGTCATATCAGGTTAGTGATGACAGTGTTTGGGTCACATTTACCAAATCTGGTATTTTTAGAGACTTTAAGGAAATATCCCATCAACTTAGTAATAGAAAGAGTGTGCACCAAGCCCTACACCATCGAACCTGTCTTACCAGGAGAGATACCGGTAGATTTGAAGGTAAACGACGCCATCTGGTTGCCGGTCTACGCCATACATCACGATCCAAACTACTACCCGAATCCAGACCGGTTTGATCCAGACAGGTTCAGTGACGAGAATAAGGGTGACATCAAACCATACACCTACCTCCCTTTTGGTTTGGGTCCACGTAACTGCATCGGTTCTAGGTTCGCTTTGTTGATGATAAAAGCCGTGATTTTCCACACCTTGTTGCACTTCGAACTGGTGCCTATCGAGAAGACTGTTATTCCCCTGAAGATTTCCAAGAAGAGTTTCGCTATGAACGCCGAGGGAGGGTTCTGGCTTGGTTTCAAAAAAACTACAAACGGACAATTTACAACCTAATATTGTATGCACGTATTTTTTTAATATATATTATAATACAAGATGGTGCAGTTTAAATTGGCTAACTCCAACTTCCAATAGAATTTGAAGGATACTGATATCGCTGTAGTTTGTAGGTCATATTTTTTATACGGGGTGTTGTGGAAATGAGTACAAAATCGAGCAATGTGGCAACGGTGCGGCGGTTTATTAACACGAGGTGTTAAGGTGTCCAGCAACCACCAATACGCAGTTCAGTTGGTATCTGGATTCGACCGTGTCGGGGTGTTTTTTGCGTGCCATTATTTCCTTTTCTTGAGGTGTTTTCCAATAGTAGGGGAGCCCAAGAGGGGATTTTGGGAGTTGTGCATTTCAATAATCTGGCGATTTGAGGATGACGTAAGGCAGTCGGAAGGTCACAGAGTTGCAAAAAAAAACGTCACCTCGACATTCTCGAGCGCGGTCGATATTTTTTTTTTATTTTGAAGGAAATAATTCAAGGATAATGGGAAAAATATAATCTGCCGATTTCCACAAGCCGAAGTAACAAAAATCGTTAATAAAGTTTAGCGCGTGCAGCTGCAGGGAAATACATGTTGTTTTGAAACTCCGTCAGGAATCTCCGGGAGGTGATTCTATGGATTAAAATAATAGCAGTATGTAATGAAATTTTTTTTTCGAATTGTCAATTGTTTGCAAGTTACAGCTTGTCGAAGTTAATTTTTAAAATTTTTTTATTTAAATAACTTATTTAATTCATGTTCGATCAGTCTCTCCCACTAAGTAGATGAAGCTCTATTGGACCAGTCAGAGAAAAGTTTCATTATGCGCCTCTAGAGGGCACTTTACCTAGAATTCAAAATTTGTTTGGTTTATAACTTTTTTCTCTTACTAAACATCACAGAAATTTAAACTTTATTGAAAAGAGAAACAATATCAGAAAAAAATATGTACTCTTTGTTCATGCCGATAAATGTAACCGTTTACCAGGAAATCGCTATTAATGTGTTATTAAACATCAAATTTTTGATCATTCTTTCTGTTATTATGTACAGGGTGTCCCGAAGTTAATGCAACAAAACTTGGTCACAGATTCTTAAGACAAATTTAGGGGACCCGTATTTTTTATTTTTGCCAAGTGGCCCCCTCTTTCGGAGTTAGAGCACCCTGAAGTCCGCCCCTAAGAATAATATTTTTTTAATATCTCTGAATCACTAAATTTGGTACACAGGGGTTTTATGACATGTGGAATCTTAAGTCTGTTCTCTGTACACTGCTAAGGTATCGCTGCGGGGTCGGGTGCACGGGCGTTACAGCTGGAGGCGGAGACTATCGCTCTCCCACTACGATGATTTTACAGTGAACGTATTTAGGTTGATTTAAACGTGAAACTAACGTTACAATTTTTACTTCAATAATTGTGTCAATTTAGAATTAATACAATTATTGTACCGCAATTGTACAAACAAATTTCATCGCAATACAAAATTGAATAACCGACATCCCGTGGACGTCAATTTAACGCTCCTTCTCTTTTTTGGTTTTATGAGAAAAAGTTATTCTTGATGAAGAGTTCTGCATGGCCTAAAATCCAAAATGAAATAATCAGATTTCAATTTTTTGCAGTCGTATACGAGGTTTGTCGAAAAATGTAAATTTTGCTCAAGAGTAAAGTACCTTTATTTTTTAAAATATCGACAATCGTTATTTAAAGTTGATCCAAATAGAAAACTACGGTCAGGTATCCAATATTATTCATTTACCATTAAAAAACAGATTTTGTTATTTTTACAAACTCTTCTCCGTATTAGCATTGATAATTTACGTCTAGAGATAGACATTAAATCTAACAGGTAAGGTAGTCGGATTTTTGTAATTTTTGATATTTATGGTATGTGTAGTTTGGACCTTGAATAACAATTTTTCGAAGTAGTTCTACGCTACGTTCATAATTTACCGAGATAATCGATTTTGAAGTTTTACCTGACAGCTAAATCCACTAGATGTGACACACTCCTCAACTGGGAGCGTGGCCTAATAGGTAGCGTTAGGAACTGACAGTCAGTATATCGCTAGTTCGAGTCCGTCGCGTGAAATTTTTTTTTTTTTTCATAACGCACCATATGGTATTTTATTTTTTTTTTTCATCTCGAAAATTATGAACAAACGAAATATTATAATAAATACTTATGTATATGTAGGAATATTCAAATATTTCATTAAAAAGCACAATTGGTTGATAAACAATATTTATTATGAACTAACAATAAGATTTCATTAAAAAAAACAAACGAGGTCAGGTAGGATGTTCTTTTATTTTATATTTATGTTACTATTTGACACGCAGTGTGGCACGAGCCAGAATAGTAGTTATCATAAAAAAAATGGGAAGCAGAAATTTTTTAAGCATCTAGCTTCCTTTCTTTTTTTTTCTGATCTCGAAAATTATGAACAAACGAAATATTATGATAACTGTATGTAGGAATATTTTTCAAGTGTTTAATTAACATTTTGAGCTAGGTTGTGTGGGTCGTGATTAAAAAAACACACCTGCTCGGGCATAGAAAGTTTCTGCTTCCCATGTTTCTATGATAACTATCATTCTGGCTTATGCCACACTGCGTAAAATATCAAATACTAAAATTAAAATAAAAAACCTACCTGACCTTGTTTGTTTTTTTTTAAAGAAACTTTATTGTTAATTCATAATAAATATTGTTTATCAACCAATTGTGCATTTTAATGAAATATTTGAAGAATATTTCTACATATACGTAAGTGTTTACTATAATATTTCGTTTGTTCATAATTTTCGAGATGAAAAAAATAATAAAAAACTATATGGTGCGTTTTGAAAAAAAAAAATGTCACGCGACGGACTCGAACCAGCCATCTCGTGACTGTCAGTCCCGAACGCTACCAATTACGCCACGCTCCCAGTTGAAAAATGGGTCACATAATGCTAGTGGATTTAGCTGTCAGGTAAAACTTCAAAATTGATTATCTCGGTAATTTATGAACGTTGCGTCGAACTACTTCGAAAAATTCTTATTCAAGGTCCAAACTACACATACCATAAATATCAAAAATTACAAAAATCCGACTACCTTACCTTCTCCTGTAAGATGCACTGACAAACCAATGGAATTTTTGATAGCAAACGTCAAAACGCTAGTTACAATTTATAAAATACAAGAAATGGCAGCTCTGTTAACTTCTTAGGAGAAAATTTAAATAGTTTTGATTGTGGGAGATGATTATAAAACTCATCAAGAAGCGGCAGTCATTTTTAATAACTGGCATCCGAATAGAAATCTCGGAGAATAAGTTCAATATGACCAAAAATAATTAAAAATCGTCAATATTCATCAACGAGCACTCGATCATAATTGAGTTATTTCACTAGTATGACCAGGTGCATTTGGAAACAAAAAACGTATACTTTCTCAAGAAAAACGGCAAAAAACGAAAACGGGATTATTGTCGGCATTTCCTTTAATAAACATGGGCTGGGATGGAAACGCCGAAATGTTGTGCTGTACAAATTAAATATACTATTACTATTAAAAATTTAATTATTACCGCTGATAGTGCAGTAAAAACATTTATTAAAAAATACATTTTTTAGTTTTCCGCTAGAAATAACGTTGCCTGGCTGTGCCGTACAACTTTTAACTCAAGATAGTTTTTATATCAATCTCTGATATAATATCTAATTGGATGCAAAAACTTCTTCCAATGAAAATAAAAGAATCGAACCCCGCAAGATCGATTAATTCAATACTCTCAATTGAAAACGTATAGATTATCACTGACTAGATATTTCTTTGAACTCCGGTCCTGTCCGCAATTACCAATCTCTAAGCCCATCCCACTGAGTAAAACACACGTGGTTGCAGCATTTAAAATATATTCGTTTCTGAAGTTGTAGACGTTCGGGATTTAGCATAGAATTTTGAGTAATTTTTATCAAATCAATATAATTTTGGTATCATTGCAAAGCTAAAAGATAGACCCACTTCCCTCTTGTAAGCAATTTTTGATTTAAGCCTCTATTTTTACGTAAATAAATTGTAAATATGACGATTTCTTGCATAGTTTACTCTTTAAATTTAAACAATTAGAAACCAATTTTGAAAAAACTGTTACAAGACAGCAGTAGGAAAACACTTTGTCTTTCGATTGTTTTTTTATTTGGGCCGCTATGTTTATTCGTTTTCCAAATATGTGTTATGGGCCGAACCCTTAAAATGGGTTTATTTCAAGCGCGTGACGGACTCTTAATTTTGTAATGTTATTACCCATCAAGAAAACGATAAAAAACTTTAAATATATAGTTTTTTTTAACCTCGACCATAATTTTTTTTACGTCTTTGTCATTTGTAATTTTATCAGAGAAAGAGATTACCGAAAGTATATATTATATGTGTTTATATGTATTATAATTAAAAGAAATAGATTTACGTGTGCAGAAAATAAAATAAAAAACTTTTTTTACAAATTTCAACAAAATTTATTATTTGTTTTTATTTGTATGCTATTTTCCGTGCTTTTTATTGGTCACATTCAGTGATTTAAAAAAAAAAATATGAAATTTTTTTTTTTTCAAACCGTCAGATTAAGAAAATCCCTCCAAATAATCGTCAGATTATGGATCAGCACAACCAGGGCATCAAGCTAAACCGTCTATATGAAAATCTGACGCGCTCGAGTATTTCAAAATGGCGTTTTCTTTTTTGTATTTTCAAAAAGCTGCCACGAGTTTGCGTCACATCCGAATCGTCAGTCTTTTGAATGGGAGCTTCGTTCGCCCCCACCATCCAAATCAGCAGATTAACATATCTCCGTTATCGGAGACACGTAGGGCATATACACTACCAATATCTGACATGCTCGAGTATTTCCATGTGACTGTTTTTTTTTACATTTTTGAAAGCTTGTAGGCGCTCCCCCACCGGTGAAAGGGTATACATCATATTCTTTCTAACATCTAATCTTCAAAATCCAATCGGTCCCTACGACGCTCGAGTAAATCCCCGTTTAGCATCGTGGGCTCCCCTACTACAACGAATGCGCGAAAATTGGATTCGAAGGAGTCGTGCGTGCCTCGAAAATGGTGGTGGACATTTTGAGCTTATATTGTAGTTTGTTTCGTACTTGTGCGTTTAAAAATTATTGAATTTTGCTTTTTGGTAAGTACCTAAATTATTTTTAATACGTATTTCACAGATTTCTCAAATACGTAATTTGATTAAAAGCTAAGTTCCTGTTTTAAGATAATCATAATTACTAAAATTCAAGCTAAAATTAAAGCACAACACTATCTTTGTACTACAAAACGAAAAAATCGTCTTTAAATTTACTAAATGTTTCACAATAACAGCTGTTTACATTTTTTCCATAGGACAAGTCTGCCGCATGTATACTTGGTGTGCATCAGCGCTGTTGTCAAGTTGTGATGAAATATTAATACTCGCTGTATTTTGAAAACTGTCAATCTTACATCCCTGTAATATACAACTTTTTTGTTCATTTATGAATACTCTATCTCATGCTGAAGTAATGGCAGTCAAAGTCCTTACATCCTGTATACATGACAAGGACTGGCAACTTACAAATAATAAACTCAGCATACTCGTGCGCTGTTGCCAAGTTTCTGCCGCAACGTTTGGCATTTACTACATATTGGGTAAAAAATTAGTATTTTAAACTCGATTTTATTCAATATTTCAGCAAGTCATCGATCGATCATCGATCTTGTATAGAGTGTCAAGAATTAGAATTTTATTCAAGACAACCCCTAGACTCTAGGGGGTTGTGAAGATTATTTACTCTAGGGCCTAGAGTAAATAATCTTCACGTCATGAGAAAATAAAGTTGGAGGAAATGCCATAAAAAAACACGATCTCTAATCAGCAAGTGTTTAGAGATCAATTGTATCGGACATGTAGTTACTACAAATGAAATATGTGGCCAGAAAGATATACTTTCGCGATTCAAGGACAGTTCTATTAACTTGTTTATATTCATTACGGTTGGCATATGGAGAAGCAAACTGCGTTTCACACATATCATGTACAGGGTGAGATTCTGTGGCAGACTGGACAGTATAAAGTCAGGCTCAAATTAGTCATCTTGTAATTATTATTACTTGTTTCGTAGGCATCTTTAATAACTAGTAAATGGTTAATAATGTCAGATTAATAAAGTACAGCAATCATCCCCCATTTTGGGGCAAAACCTCTATTGCCAACCTTGAAATATGTTTGTTCTCCGATATTATTGCAGAGGTTATAAAAATATATCATTTTAATACGTAGATAAGTGTAATATGATTGAGAGATAAACGCCTTTAATACGGATCAGCATTATGAAAAACAATTTAATAATGATACACTAAAATGTATTTTTTTTACTCTATTTCGAAGGTACAACAATGAAAAGGTAAATATTCTAAAATTGTAGTAGAAAATTCCTAAGGTTCCTTTGCATCAAATATCTGTTTATATAGGGTGAATTATCCTAAAAAAATTGGGAATATATACTTCATGAAAAACGGAATCAATATCGTTAAACATTTTTTTGTAAAATTCTTATAGTTTGCGAGAAAAAAAATTATTGAAGTTGTATTATTTTCAACTCTTACATCGCTGAGCTACTGTAGTTTCTAGCGTCATTCGCTAGTGTTTACATTAGTTTTTCAAGTGTCAAAATGACGTACGTGTATAGCAACTCAAGTTGAAGAATATCGTTTTAATTTATGGATTTATGGATTTTATGGATGGATTTATTTTTTAATTTATGGCAATACAATATTTGTGTTAAGATGAAGCATTTGTGTTATGGTGAAGCAAGACATTTGTGTTAGTTCTTCAATATTCCATCCTCGTTCATTTTTACAGCCTATTTTTTATATTGCAAAAGCTCACTATGCCCTGTACAATGTGTTTCGTTTAATTTTTATGGTGACCTGTATTCAAAAACATAAGAAATATCTATCAAAAAAAGTAAATAAACCTTTATTTAGGAAATAAACTTCATGGTACTGGGCGAGTTAAAATAACGGCGGAAAATTAATGTCTACAGACCTAAATGAAAAAGTAGTAAACATTTTTTAAACTCTGAGTGGTCGAAATCGATTAAATTCTTCTCAAAAATATATCCATTTAAAAAATACAATTTATTTCCGGTTTAATAAACCCTCAAAAACTCAGTTCACTCTGTACCTCCACCGATAAAGCTTGGCTCACCCTGTATAAGCCCCAATTATGCGCATGGAATAACAACAAAATATATGACCAGACATATCACTGTCTCAAATATGTTGTCTGTTTTAAAATTATTCAATATGTGCGTGGTTGAGGCGTAGTCCCGTCAAGAGTAATGAAAGATAAAAATATGTGTATTTAGATAAAAATACATTTATACTTATTTATAAGTTCGAGATTCGTGCAAGAGTTAGCTTTAATTTGAGGTAAGTACCAAACTATTTATTATAATAGGTGTATTATCGAATAGATTAATAAGTTTTTTATATGAATTATATGAAATTCTTATTTATAAATGGATGTGAAACATGGGTATTTTGTGTTCTAAATGTAGCAAGATAAAAATAAAAATAGTAGGACCTAAATACAGGGCCTTTATAAATGACTACAAGCCATGTGATTGTTGAGCTTAGGCAACCAACACTGCGCGAGTGGTACTGATAACGAAATATCCCTAAATCTTGACTCGTTTATAATGAACAATAACAAACTGTTACGTTCAAGGTAAAGCGATCGCTGATTGGTTGAATAAAATCTCGTAAAAAGTTACACCAAACATCAGTCGTTGTGTTTTTTTAATGTAATCTTGATCTTATTGTTTGTTGTTAATAATTTTTAATTTTACCGAAATTTAATTGCCAATATGAAGGAAATAAAATTACTGATCAAACAAATTTACTATATTCCAGTTAAGATTTTTCCGTAGCTCTAGTAATACTCTTTTAGAGATGGAAACTACCATGGAAAATAATTTAATCGAAACATATTGCTTTTGTATGACCTATCGACGTGTTATTTTAAAGTCACCATAACTTTTTAAGGCCAATATGGACGAAATAAATTGTTTTGTATGAGTTATTAAATGTTAATTAATTTATGTTTTAAAATAATTATTTTTTGCTGTTTTAAAAAATGCCCATAATAAATAATAAGTATACTAATCTGATTGATGTCAAATATTTTTTAAAATCATTTTTCTTATTTTTTGAACTATTCTATTGTCACTACGTACAGTAGATATGGACGCATTGCGGAAAGTTAAAACAGACGACTGAGCAATAAATCTCAACTGTTGACAATTAGTTGACAAATTGCCTAGAAGTACAGTGCAACAATGCGGAATTTGGTGTAATACTGATAGAAAGGTACTGAAATTTTTATATTTATTTTAGATTTTTCTTCGCACAGCCAATTTTTTAATACCAGTTGCTAAAAATCAGCACCATGTTGATAATACTAGTTCTTGGAGTGATTACGGTGTTAGTCTTCATCTACTTCTACATAGTTAAACGACAGAACTACTTCAAAGATCGTGGCATTACCCAAGGGAAACCTATGTTTTTATTCGGCCACTCTTTGGGAGCCTTAATACACACTAGAACCTGGACAGATTTGGTTCAAAGTGTTTACAATCAGGGTGCTGGAAACAGGTAAGAACATAAATCCGCAATAAAAAGGTTTACTATCTTTGTATATACTGGAAACTCAAAAAATCCAAGAGCTAATCCAGACTAAAAGTTATCATTTTAGTTGATAAGTGAGAATGCACTTACATTCTATTTTGGCTGTGTTGTGTTTGCTCGAAGTAATATTCTTGAGTAATTTAATCCAATATATTACATTTTATCTGATCCGACTATAGTAAATAGACTATTAACACATTGTTTTTAAGAAGGTAAGTGGATTTTGCCGTAGAAGTAGATGTTGCTATGGACAACGGGAGGAGTTGTGTAATTGTAAAGAATCCTGTTGGCTATTTCAGTTTTGTTACTTCAACTGTCAGCAACATAACTTTCTGCAATTGTGGCTGATTTCCACCCACCACGTCTCTTGATTGATAATACTTCAACTACTGTATTAACCAGTAACGTTGCCGGTGTTCTTCAGAATGAACGGCCTGTATATGTTTCAGGATGTTCTAGTTTCAAAAACTGTGCAATTTTATTATGAATCGTAAAAAGGGTGTTCTTGCCGACTGCAAGTTGCAAGTGTAGCATTTGCTACACTTTCTATTTGAAAACCACTCATTTAGAAATAATAATTCAAAATCAGTAAAATTGCAACTTTTATGTAGATTTATTTTTAAACACCTTAGAAACGACAAAATCGAAGCAACCAAGGTGACCTTGCAAGATTTCGAATAATGTCAAAATGAATAGATTAAGAAATGTAAAAAAATAAAACCTAATCTTTATTTCATGAACCATAAACAACTGTGGGAGCAGATAAAATGTTATACACCATGCAGCAGTTAAGTATAATTTACCAGTCTTAGACTCTATTGCCAGCCCTTACTCCGCTCAGGCGCAAAATCCTCCTCGACTGGTAAATAATACTTACCTCCTTTATGGTGTCGCAGAGAACAATTTTGATTGAAGTATTTATTTTAGATATACTGGAATGTACCACTTCCACTTTCCGTTATTGGTGCTAAGAGACCCAGAGCTATTAAAACAGGTGGCTATCAAGGATTTCGATCATTTCACTGATCACATCAGCTTCCTACCAACAGACTCTGACCCATTGTTCTCAAAGAGTTTGGTCGCCCTCCATGGTAAGTCCTTAAACATCAAAGCATTGCCTTCTTCGAGAGTTCACTGTCTTACTTTTGTTCTTTGTAAACATTCCTAGCTTTTCATTGAGATCATGGAGAAAACAGTATTTACCAGATATTTACCATTCATCAAATTGTGTCATCGTTCCTTTTTAGGTCGGGAATGGCGAGAGATGAGGGCTCTCTTAAGCCCTTGCTTCACGAGCAGCAAAATGCGATTCATGTTCAACCTGATAAACGAAAGTGCTGAAAATTTGGCTGAGCATTTCCTGAAAAAAGACGAGAATGTTGTAGAAGTTGAAATGAAGAATGCTTTCACTCGCTTTTCCAGCGACGTAGTCGCGACCACAGCCTGTGGGATAAAAGTCAATTCTTTGGAAAATCCTAAGAACGAGTTTTACTTGATGGGGCAGAAGGCTACAGATTTTAGCGATATTTGGAAGAATATAAAATTCCTCTTGTACCTTATAGTACCATACATCAAGAAAGTAAGTTAAAGAATGTAATGGGACATATGAAAACAATTTTCAGGGGGGATCTAATATTGGCCCCCTACTATGTTTAATCTTCATAAATGGCCTTTAGGCAGATGATTTCTAATAAGTTTAATGATCAAGTATCTTTAGACACAGAGATTTAGAAGTAAAAATGTTAGATTGAGTTTAAATTTACATTTGTTTGAAGAATGAATACGCATTTTCTGTTCGGAAAAATCAAATAATTGACCGAAGGGTAAGAAACAATGTTAATACAGCTAGACTGTTACAGTATTTCGAACGAAATCCACGTAATTCTATTCGGCAGGATAGCCGGGAATTGAATTTGGATAAATCATCCGTTCAACGAATTTTAAAGACCAATGGGTATCCTGACTACAATATTCACAATTTGGCGTATTTGCCTGAACGTTACATTGAAAACAGACTTAATTTTATCCCTCAAATTGTATTAAATGTAGAAACTGTTGTTCAAAACCTTTTTCGACACGTTCTTTCGACGGAAGAAAGCCGGTTTGTCAGTAACAGTCTGCCAAACAGGTGCAACAAACATTACTGGTCCATTGACAATATCCACATTGTAAATCCACTCCAAAACCAAGGTCATTTTGTAGTAAATTGGGCCTTATTTCTATGGACATACATTGAACAGCGTGAGTTACCTAAATTTCATACAAGAGGAACTTCCAGCACTTTTGGAGAATTACACCAGGAAAATTAGCGAAAATAAAAGAGAAACTCGAAAAAAGTCCTATTCACCAGATTATTGTAAAATTGTCTAAAGGAACATAATACAAGACATCTCTCGTCTCGTGAATCACTTTCTTTAGCTAACTTTTTTATTTAAACAAATAAGTGAGGAAAACAGTTTTTTCACTTTGCAGGGAAAAGCATCAATAACTATCGGATTTGTTGTTAAAATTTTATAAAACCTATGACAATTTGAGGGTTTTGTCATACTATAAAAGTGTGCCAAAAGTGGGCGCTGTAGGTGCAATAGTTTTCGCACAATTCTATTTGTTTATAGCGGAGGCTCCAAAAGTTATGAACTTTAAGCCTCTGTACAAACGTTAATTTTCAATCAAACATGATTCTGAAAGCGTCATTGTAATCTTAAAGACGCAATTAAGCGACCTATTAAAAAATATCACGGTTTTTTTGACATTAACATTCTCAAATTGTGCATTAAGAAACCGTGCGTTTTTCGCTTATAAACAATTTGAATACCATTGTTGCTATTTATGCTATTTCACCGAAAATAGATGCAATGGATAGCTGGCAAAAAAATACAGTTTTAAAATAAAAAAAGTACCCCCTACGACCGACAGGAGCCAAGATAAGATTTTTTTTTAAATCGTAGCGCAATCGTTTATAAATATTAAAACTTGAATATTTCGCAAAATAAAGTTTACGACGTAAACTATGATTTCCCGTGAATTGCATTGAAAAATGTGGAAAATTAACGACTCACGACTCGCTAAGTAAACTGTCCGGCGGCCGGCGGCGTAGTGGTGGGGGAAGCTCGTCCAAGCGATCCCGCGGGCGAGAAAAGTTAAATGCAAAGTTCAAATAAGTGCGCGCTGTAAATTTTGCAATATCTCGGCTTCTATTCATCGTAGAAACTTTTTTTTTTTTTAAACTGGGGTAGCTCGACGAAAAAATAACAATGGGCATATTTACGAATTCGTAGAATAGCCCTGATCCCCAGAAAAAATGTATCCTTTATACTTACTTTTGTTTAATTTACAAAAATGTCACAAAAACTATTGTTAAACGAAATATTAATTAAAATTTCAATTTCGGAATTATTTTACTATTATTAAATAAATAATTGAAGCTATCGTTCATTTAAAAAGTTATTTTTTTACATATTAAGGCAAAGTAAACTTTTTTTTCAATATTTTGTTAGATACTTAATTACGATTTAAATGTAAAAATCCCAAATCTCATTCAAATTTTTTGTATCCTCACAGTAGATCCATACTATCGAGTTTGAGACAGCATGTATCTGATGGTACCACTCATCAATAATTTTCATACAGTTCTTTTAAGTCTCACCCTATGACGACATTTATACATACTTTTACGTATGTATTGAAATATTTCAGGTACTGAAAATACAACTGATTACGGACGACGTATCCACATTCTTCAGGGGTCTGATAGACGAAACCATCAAAGTGAGAGAAGAAAAAGGAGTTGTAAGACCAGACATGATACACCTCTTATTAGAAACACGTAAAGGAATCCGCAAAGAAGAGGAAACTAACGACGTCGACACGGGATTTGCTACAGCTGAAGAGTCTCCGAGCGGCCTAGGTAATTCATTTGTTTTGCAAAACATAGAGTGAAGAAAGTTTTTTTTAGTAAAAGAAAAACTGCACAGAGCTCTAACAAACGAGGAAATAACCGCCCAAGCCTTGATCTTCTTCACCGCTGGTTTTGACAGTGTGTCATCAGCGATGTGCTTCGCTGCCTACGAATTGACTGTGAACCAAGATATACAAAAAAGGCTTAGAAAGGAGGTTCACTCCACGTGGAAGGCGTGCAAAGGGAAGTTAACCTACGAGGCTCTTCTGCAGATGAAGTACTTGGACATGGTCATATCAGGTTGGTATTTAAATGATATAGCTCGCGTTATAGCTTCTGAGGTCTTGGTTATTAAAAGACTAAAGAAGAACTCTTTTTCATCTAATCTGTGGGATATACCTATACTCCAGTAGAATTAGATCACAAAACTTGAAAACATGGAAAAATTATTAGTAGACATGGGTATGCAGAATGATAATATAAAAAAAGCGTACAAGAATCTGGGGTTCATACTACGTAACAGCAGAGATTTTAAAAACATATCTACATTACGAGTATTATTTAATAGCTTTGTTAGGCCTAAATTGAAGTACGGCTCTGTAATTTGGTCACGTTTTTGAAAATTTACTAAATAACCCCATTTAAGGTACCTAGAGTCATTTTTGACTAATTTGTTAAACGCAGTCAAACTTCTAATACTTCTTATACCTCTCAACAAATTAATCTTTTAGAAACCCTGAGGAAATATCCCATCAACCCAGCAGTGGACAGAGTATGCACCAAGCCTTACATCATCGAACCTGTCTTGCCAGGAGAGACTCCGGTGCATCTGAAAGTAAACGACCCTATCTGGTTTCCGATCTACGCCATACATCACGATCCAAACTATTACCCCAATCCAGACCGGTTTGACCCAGAGAGATTCAGTGACGAAAATAAGAGTGACATCAAACCCTACACCTACTTTCCCTTTGGTTTGGGTCCGCGTAACTGTATTGGTTCTAGGTTCGCTTTGTTGATGACCAAAGCCGTGATCTTCCACGCCTTGCTGCACTTCGAACTGGTGCCTATTCAGAAAACTGTTATTCCCGTGAAGATTTCCAAGAAGAATTTCACTATGAACGCTGAAGGAGGGTTCTGGCTTGGTTTCAAAAAAAACTGAGAACGAACAAGTTGCAGTCTAATTTTTTTTTTTTAATTTTTTTTAATACATATTTTTTAAATAGATTTCTTTCTTTTTAATATTTCTACAGCTCGATGATGTTGAAATTGGCTAGAAATTAAATAACCCTTTGTGCTATTTTATAATTTTATTTTTGCCTAAAAACCTCTCACTGATAGTTAACGTTTCGAAAAACTGTCTGTTTTCGTCCTCAGAACTCAGTGTCTTAACATCAAATGAAATAATGTTTTTGTTTTGTTGTAAACAACCATAAAAAATTTAGGAATTATTTGAAATACTTATATCGCCGTTTGGCAAAATAAACACGACCTCTTTTAGTTTTCTTTACTGTAGTGTTATTTACGTGAATAAAAGCTTCTACTCATGTCGATTGAATAACCCAAAAAAATCTGATGTGACATGACAATATTTGAATCCTTGAAAAGGGTGATAAAGGGTACGAAGATGAGCAACTTTTTTCAGCAACTGATGGCCTGAATGCTTCTGATTTCAAGAAAATTGATTAAGAAAATTAACCATAAATGTAAGCTGACCTTGTGCATCTTGTGCACGTGCGCTATGTGTTGCAGTATTACTTAGCCGGCTTATAAAACTGACATTACCGTGTGGCGTGTATTATGGGAATAATTATTACACTCCTATATCATGTACAGGGTTAGTCACTATAATCTGACAAATTATTGTGAGTTTACATTGAAATTACAAAAAGTTTGTAATACAAAAGTTTTAGTTTTTTTCTGAATTTTTATAATACAGTATTAGAAAAAACAATTGAATAATGGAAATCACTAAATTAAAGAAAAAACAAATTTAATGGAACACACTGTATATTAGTGCATAATTAGTTTCGTTAAACTTTTCTCTTTTCTAAAATATGTAATATGTTACTGTTTGATTCAGGACTTTTTGACATATTTCAATTTAAAACTATTTTTGAAAAAACAGAAGGGAAAGAGTGACCGCAAAAAAAAACAGTGATTTTCGCCCGTTTTTTCACAATTCAGAGAATTAAAAAAAAATACATAAAAATGTGTTTTTGGTCGCAAATTACTTGTCGTAAAAAACTGAAATGAGCATAGCTTTTAGTATTTTGAAAATTTTAAAAATCACCCCTTCTTAGGGGTTGAAAAAATGCCAAAAATTTTGAATATTACCAATTGATATAAAAACTATTAGCATGTGAATTATCTTAATATATATTTTTTTTAATTTTTACAATTATTTCTAATATTCTCTATTTTTGGGGATGATTGACCACCCCCTGAACGCGCTTAAGAGAAGATTTTCTAATTCAACATGCTTATATCAGTCGTGAGAATAAATCTTTCTTAGTATCAAAAATCATTCGATAGAAAAATTCACATGCTAATAGTTTTTATATTTATTGGTAATATTCAATTCTTCATTTTGGGCGTCTTTTCAACACCTAAATAGGGACGATTTTTGAAAATTTAAAAGCTATGCTCATCTTAATTTTTTACGACGAGTAATTTGAGACCAAAAACATATTTTTATCTATTTTCTTTAATTCTCTGCGAATTGTGAAAAACGGGGGATTTTTGCGGTCACTCTTTATGTCTGACGGATCGCAGTGATTATGGACGAGGCACACGGAACAAACAAATTACTTTGGCAGAAGTTTATTTATCATCATTGATTTATTCCCTATAACTAACTGCTATTTTAACAAAGAAATAATGTTTAGTGAGGACGAAAAATTTGAAGTTATCTGTTTATTTTATGATAATAAAAATGTTTAATTTTAACAAGTCTTAATTTTAACAGAATTAATATAAATACCAGCTTTTGTAGTCGCTTGATCAGTCCATGAAATCTTTTCAAAAAGTTTAGATCGCCATTTTTCAAGCACAGCATTTCTCTGTAGTACTCTAATCGATAATTTTTTTGATTTTGGGTGAGTTTTTGGACCGGCGTAGTTTTATGGGGGCGGTATTTATATTTATGTAACGTTCTAATAATTTTACTTTGGCTTATTTCTAACTGTCTTGAAGTATTTACTGTGGACTCGTGTTGCCTTTTTACAATAATTTAATATTTGATTTTACCATGGTAAACCACGAATGAATATTTGCTTACCTTGAAAATATAGTTCTAATCCTTCATTTGGAATAATTCTTCGTTTCTGTCTTCCAATAGGTTTTGTTTCTCTAAAGCGTCGCTCCATGTCGTAATATGCAGCTCGAGATGGAATTGGAAACCCGGGATGCAAACGAGCATACTCGGTGGGCGCTGCTTTCTGTTTTAGATATAATTGTATACTAATTATCTATATTTAATGGTAATTTTTGCGCAGTTTCTTCCATAAATGTTATAATATCTGATTTAGATATGTATATTTCTAGGTAACAAAGAGCAATTATTTAAATCTTTACCATCTTTTCAACGTGGCAGAACTAATTAAATAAAAATAGTACTGAAAATGTCACTAATAAATAATCACAAACGATACTCTCTATATGAGTTCTTAATATGATCGTAACAAATTTTTTCTTGATGACGAAAAGACATCTTTAAAATTTTACACATGTAGTCATTCATTGTTACATGTTAAACATATTTTCCAAAAATTTTTTCGGAAACGCCGATTTAGTTCGTGTCGTTTCAAAAGAATTTTCCAAAATTTCTACTTCCATATTTCATTTAAAAGTCGTATACAGGGTGTCCCGGAAATGGTGGGCAATCTCTCGGATATGGATAGATAATGAGAAAATAATGTCACAAGTTCATATAAAATTTTTTCCTCCGGGCTCACACTGTGGAGTTATTAGCTCTTGAAGTTGAGAATCAAAAATGGTTTTTTTACTGTAACTTTTGTATTTTTCAATAAATTTGGAAAATTTTTTGGCTGGAGCTATAATTTTTGAAGCTGCTTTGGATGATAAAATGAAATCCTCGATAATAATTATGGGGGCCCGGGGGCAAAGCACCCCCCACCAAAATTTCTAGAAAAAAAATTTTTATTCCACTATACCCCAAATTTTCCATCATTTTATAAAAATTTATGGTATTTTACGTAAAAAAGGTATACTTGTTGAATATCCATAAAATAGATATATTTTGAGATAAACCCGTTTAAAGAGGAAGGTACCATTTAATTTGAGACATTTTATTTAATTGAAACACAGATTTAATCGTGGTTGGCTTTGACATGTCAGAGTATGCCAAAGGCAATTAAATTGTCAAACTTGTCAAATACGTAGTTTTAAATCTAAGACTCATCTCATAACTCATAATTTGTTATAAAATATGGAGTATTCCAATGAAGAATATGCTGATATGCATTTAATGTACGGGCGGGCTCTTTGTAATGCTTCGGCAGCAAGAAGATTTTATCAGCATTCTTATCCTAATAGAAGGATTCCGGATCGCAAAACTTTCGAACGTATTGATCAAAGATTAAGAGAAACTGGTAAAATACGATTACTATTATTAAACAAAATGGATATTAAATAAATTTTAATGTCTTNGGATGATCTTATTCTTTTAAACTCGTCATAATCTTCCAGAAGGTTAGTAGATTTATATTTTTTATAAGCTTTATTTTTTAGCTTCCATTCCGCGATTACTTCCTTAGTGAACCACTTAGGGAATTGCCTGTTAAAAACAACGTTTTTTCTTGGTGGGACATGTCTGGACAAAATTTCCTTAAGGATATCATAAAACATCTCTACAGCATCATTTATATTAGGGACAGAAGAAATACAAGACCAATCAGTTGACAATAATTCTTCGTAAAGAGCTGGAAAATTAGCATTCTTATAATTAAGTACATATGAGTATTAGTACACAGAGTAGTTAGCTCTCTTCAGAAGAAACACTGAAACTGGAGATTAAGTCATCTGGCCGTTATTTATGTTTGTTGTTTGTACAGGTCCGCGGTGTTCCGGTACTTGGTTTGAAATAATTGGCCTGTATTTGATTTTTTCGTCGCTTCCAAATTCTAAGTAGTTCTCATTACTATACGGCCAAGAAACAAGGGATCGTCAACACCTTGGTAGAATACTTGGAAGAAGAACTGGAACTGCATGGAATTTGGACCTTCTCGATCGAAATTATTTCTATTCTTCTGGATTTCTCTTGCTTCTCTGTAGAGCTTTGGCTTCCATTCTCTCTCTCTATCCCTCTTTCTCTTAGAATATGAACGTTACAGGTCCATAACTTTAAATCACCTCAAATGTAAATACCGGCTAGAGGACTTAATCTATAGTTGCTTTTGCAGAAAAGTGTGATATGTCTGTGGATAACATGAAATTGTCGGTACAATGTAATCACCAGCTCGACAATTGTTCAATCATTGTCAACTGCCACAAAAGACTGTAGATGTTTCGATGTTAAGAAACTACAAACTTCTTTCGACTTGCATTCCAACACTATTTGAAATATTGTTTTAAAATAAGTTTTCATTATTTTGTGTCTAAATTGTAGATGTGTGTCCCAAAAGTTTTGATTATACATATTTACTCCTCAAGTAAGATGTAATTAGTGCCTTCTACTGATATTGAGAACAATATATTTATCAAATCAATCAGTCAACAGCATCGTTGTTAACATAAGAACAGTGACAGCGTTGGGAACGCTTTGTCATAATGGTTATTTCATGAAACCAAGCAAGGGAAAGGCGAACAGAAATCTCTTCTGTCGTACAAATTTAAATCGTCCATTCCATAGTGTTTCAAATTCTGTGAAAATAGGAAGAATCGATTCAGTCTTGCATTGTCACCCATCACTTCGGACGTCGTCAACTTTCTCTGAGAACAACCATCGTGGATCCAGCTCCAAAAGCACGGTTGAACACTGTATACAATTCAAATTAAACATGTGACAAATAGAAAGAACAACAAAAACATTAACAACCATTAAACATAAAAGGAGAGTGCCAGGCTCACCTAGAGCTCCTGCGGGGAAAGAGCATGGCAGAGAAACCCACGATCGTTGCTCTAACTACCCAAATATAAATACAAAACAACCGCTAACCAAAGGCATAAATTAGGATCCTTTGTTAACCTCTTCAGTCCCCCCGTATCACATTTGATACGTTAGGTAACATTTTTCTTTTATAAAAAAAATCACTAATTTTATGTTCAGACCTACTATATCATATAATATACATTGTAAACAACGCCATCTATGTGGAAACAGTGACACTCATCTCAGTAGTTGACATTTAGAGCATTGCAAACATGGCGACTACCTCCAGAAATAGAATTCTATCTTCAAATAAAGGTAAGTCAGTGGTTTTATTGGGATATAATTTATCTTATAAGAAATAAATATAATGTACACTTATTTTTATATGCCAAGTGGCAAATTTTATATAAAAAAAATTATGTTTACCTTGTACACATACTTTTATTTCACGCATCAAGTAATATACATTAGGACTCTACAACATGGTTGCCTATAAGTGCAGTTTTTTGTTATGTATCAAATAGTATACATTGGGACTATAACGTTGCAATTAGTTAAGGAAGAATAATTTATATTTCAGGATTGTCTCATCAACAACTAGAAGAGTTGTTGTATGCCAGTGATTCTGACTTAGATATCAATTTGCCAGATGAATCTGATGATGGATGGGAACCAGATACACACCCTGATGAAAACTTGTCTTTGTCAGAAGACTCTGATGATGACGTGCCACTTGCTCAACTGTTTCCCGGTGCCCGCTTTCAAAGTCGACCAACGACGTCAGGTACTACATGGGTTAGAAGCGATAACTTTCGAGAATCAACTGACGAAAATCCTCAATTAGATTCAAATAATTTATTAGAGCCATTTGATTATTTCCGTAAATATATCGATGATGACGTTTTCATAAATATGGCTTTGTATTCCAATATGAAACATGTGCAAACAAAAGGAGTTTCTTTGAATACTGATAAAAAGGAAATTAAAACTTTCTGGGGTATAAGTATTATAACTTGCTTGTTGAGATTTCCACGAACCCGTATGTTTTGGGAGCGAGAAACTAGATATAGCATAATAGCTGATAAAATGACTAGAGATAGGTTCTTCAAGTTAAGAACTAACTTAAAAATTGTGGATGATTATGCTGTTACAGATGACGAGAAGAAAGATAAATATTGGAAAATTCGCCCTTTATTGATCAAGATTCGTCAAACTTGTATTTCTACTCCAAGGCCAAAGTATATTAGCATTGACGAACAGATGATACCATTTCAAGGTACTGTAAAAATGAAACAGTATATTCGTGGCAAGCCTTCCCCATGGGGTCTCAAAAACTTTGTAATGACCCGAACTGATGGAGTGCCATTAGATTTTCTGTTATATGCCGGAAAAGACACAGATCTTTCTTCGTCATATAAAACTCCTCAAAACTTAGACATAGGTGGTAAAGTTGTGTTGAAGTTGTCGCAATCTTTACAGTCAAACTCTTCAATTTTCGTAGATAGATACTTCACATCAATAGCATTGTTTAGAATTCTTGAAGAACATTCTATAATAGCTACAGGCACGCTAATGAAAAGTAGGGTCCCTAAAAATGCAAATTTTATTGCTGACGGTGTACTGAAAAAAAAAGGTAGAGGCAGTCACGACCAGTTGATATCTGACGACAACAAAATCATGATAACAAAATGGTTTGATAATAAAGCAATTTTCCTTGCATCAACTGAATGTGGATACACACCTCCAAATGAATGCAGAAGATGGTCTAAATCAGACAAAAAATACATATATATAGATAGACCAGCAGTTGTAAAATTATACAACGAATATATGGGAGGTGTCGATCTTCTGGATCGTACAATTGCAAAATATGCGATGCGAGTACGAACCAGAAAATGGACAATTCACCATTTTATTGATTTTTCCATTGCGGCAGCTTGGTTGGAGTATAGAGGTGTTGCAAAAAGCAATGGTATATTGAAAAAAGACATTATGTCTTACTACGATTTTAAAATGAAAATCGCTTTAGAATTGCTGCATCCTCAACCCCTTCATAATGAAGATGAAGAAAATATCGATCCTCATCAACAAGATAGGAAACCTTTTGTTCCACTTCCCCACAGAAACATAAGGATTGACGGAGCTGTCCATTTACCAGAAATGGATTCGGATTCGCACTCGCGCTCCAGATGTAGAATGCCTGGATGTAAAAATCTTACATATTGTAAATGTTCATTTTGTAAAGTATATTTATGCTTCACAGCAAAAAGAAATTGCTTTAAAAATTTTCATTCAAAATAGGAACACATTATTTTGGGGCCAAATGTATCATATATGATACGTCATTTTTTTGTTATTAGCAAGAAAAAAATATTTATTTTATACTATATTTATGTTATACCGATACTTATTATCTAATAAATAAAGATATTCACTTAAAAAATGGTTTGTTTTACTTTCGGGACTGAAGAGGTTAAATATTTAAAACTGACCTTGAATTTCATAATACTTAAAAGATTGTTGATATCGAATTCATAGAAATGAGTATTGTTTATCATTAAAAATGTCTAATTATATACTCCATAATCACAAGAGATTATGAATTCTACTAAATGATTTATATTCTTGAAAATATTTTTAATATTTCGTCTAGTTCTCTGTTATCTTTTCGCCATTGCCTTCCTTAATTTCTAAATAATCTATGATAATTGTACCACGTGAAATTGATCAACAATTATTATTATTAAAACACTATCTAAAATGGAAACTTTAAGTCATATATTCTAGTCCAATTAAATGGGCCTTTAACTAGCAATTTTGGTCAACTTGCCTGAATTTTTGATATAAGTTAGTTTGAGTTATATAATAACAATAAGTGACAGTAATTTTTTTTTCAAATCCCGGCCAGAGGTGAAAAAAGATAAAATAAAGGGGTTGAGTAAGAGCTAGAAAAAAAGTTCTTTTAAAAGTTGTAGAAGATAAAATTGTACATAAAAATGGTCTATAGACTTTTTCTTGTACTATTAAAATTAACAGAGTTAGAGTGGCTTGAAGTTAAGGGATAAAATTTAAAAGTCGTCAAGCAGAAAAATTATGAATGAATTTTACAATTTTTTTTCAACCTCCTCTAAAATTTTTTATCTTTGTCGTAAAACAAAATTTCGAAAGAATCTTTTCATTATTTTAAATAATCAATCGAATGGCATAGAAAAATATTGTTTTAGTGTTAAATCATAAAAATTAAAGATTAAAAATTTGAACACTTTTTATTAAAAATTTAAAGATCTTATTTCCCTGAAGAGAAAGTTTTAATTTTTTAGAGTAGATTGAAAAAAAATTATAAAAATTCATTAATTTTTCTGCTTGTTATGATTTTTTTAAATTTCTGAAATCACCCCTTAACTTCTAGCCACCCTAACTCTGTTAATTTTAATGGTACCATTTAATTGAACTATTTCCGGTTTATAGTGGTTTAAAGGCTTTTAGGACTCGTACGATGGATTTTGAGGTTCTTATGTCATGTCCAATGTATCTGCTTGCCGCCAATTACAGATTTACATAGCCTTAGTTAGAAATCTTTGACCTGCCCCTGCTGTTCTCGAGCAAGGCTCTGTGGAGATGGATCCGCTATCAAAACCCCTAGACTTACCCTCATTTTCATTTCGCTTCATATTGTTACTCCTAAGGCTACGGACGGAACCCTCTTCAGACAATGGTGGTCAGATACCGGTTAGTTTTGTGTGATAGACTAGACTATCATACCCATACGTTTTTAGGGGTATCTACGAAGCTAGCTCTTGTTCAAGGTTATTTGAAGGTCAACTCTTGTTTTTTATGGTAATACAATTTTTGTACCAGGAATTTAAAAGGGAGATGTATTTTACGTGGTGAACTTATTTTTTAAGATCATGTCAAGGTCAACTTTTGGTTTTCTATGGTGATACGATTTCTGATCACGAATCCCGAAAAAGCGAGAAACTTTACGTTTGAAGACGTGCTTGAGTTATTTCATCATTTTCAAGGTCATTTGATTGTCAAATCTTCTCCCCCGAGCCCCAGGTTGGTATCTCACCAAGATAATGATATATCGAGAGAGTGACCTCTATAAAAGTTGTATTATCAGATATCACCACTTAGTGACCTTGAAGGTCATTTCGATAAAAATCACTATAATCGGCTTTAAGATGGTGAAATAATAATTTTCGTATCCATGAGATCTGGTTTTTCATGATCCTAATGACAAACAATTGGCAACGGTAGACTTCTTATACGAGAATTTGAACCTACATACTCTCAGGCTGGGTCATAGCATAACTGGTTTCACAGCGAAGATATTTCAAATCCCGCTACCTCAGAATATGGTGGATATGAAGACAGCTGCCCGGAAAGGGATGTGTGGCATAGATCATAATACAACTTGTGTTACAGAGGTATTACCTTAAAAAAAGCTTAAAGAGTTGACATTGAATATGACCTTCAAGGTTAAATCCAAGGTCAACGGATAGTGGTCTCCAATGACCCAAACAACTTTTGTAGAGATCATTTTCCCGATATCTCACTATCTTGACCAGATACCGACCTGAAAAGTTCGGGAGCAGAATTTGATCTTCAACTGAGCTTGAAAATGAAAAAATAACCCCATCACTTCTCCGAACGTAACAACATTTCTGGCTATTTCAGAATCCGGGGTCAGAAATTGTTTTACTATAAAAAGTAGCAAGAGTTGACCTTCAAATAACATTGAACATGATCGTAAAAAATAAATCAACAGGTCCGAACGTAAAATTCCTCTCTCTTTCAGAATCCGGAGACAAAAATTGTTTTACCATAAAAAACAAGAGTTGACCCTCAAATATGCTTGAATATAACCTTCAAAGTCAAATCCAAGGTCAACAGATAGTGGTCTCCAATGACCCAAACAACTTCTATAGAGATATCTCACTATACTGAACAGATACCAACCTGAGAAATTCTAAAGCAGAACTTGATCTTCAAATGACCTTGAACATGAAAAAATAACTCAACCACGTCTTCCAAAATTTCTGGCAATTTCAGAATCCGGGGTCAGAAATTGTTTTACTATAAAAAAAAACAAGAGTTGACCTTCAAATAATATTGAACATGACCTTAAAAAATAAATCAACATATCCCAACGTAAAATTCCTCTCTCTTTCAGAATCTGGAGACAAAAATTGTTTTACCATAAAAGAACAAGAGTTGAGCCTCAAATATGCTTGAATATGACCTTCAAAGTGAAATCCAAGGTCAACAGATAGTGGTCTCCAATGACCCAAACAACTTCTATAGAGATATCTCACTATACTGAGCAGATACCAACCTGAGAAGTTCTAAAGCAGAACTTGATCTTCAAATGACCTTGAACATGAAAAAATAACTCAACCACTTCCTGCAACGTAAAATTTCTGGCTATTTCAGAATCCCGGGTCAGAAATTGTTTTACTATAAAAAAAAACAAGAGTTAACCTTCAAATAACATTGAACATGACCTTAAAAAATAAATCAACATATCCGAACGTAAAATTTCTCTCTCTTTCAGAATCCGGTGACAAAAATTGTATTACCATAAAAAACAAGAGTTGACCTTCAAATACACTTAACAGGTATGGTAGTATAGTCTATCCACACATTCATTTTGTTATGCTGTTATTTAAAATATGTGATTTTATGAACATAATAATTTAACATATTTGCAAGTGAAAAACTATTATCTTCTAAAACAAATACACAAATTCAATCACAAGTTAATATAATTCTTAAAATAAACAAAGTGGCTATTTATTTATTAACTACAATTACTGATATTTTATAATAAATATGTATTTGTTGTCTCAGACTGAAACTGCGCAGTCTGGCAGCTATTTTTAAGGCCCATCGTCGATTACATATAGTTAACATTTGATTGGCTTAAATTACATACTATTTTCTTTAAGTAAATACATAATAAAATAACCAAGACGCTTCAGAACTAGGTATTAAATATTCAATTGCGTCGCCAAACATTTCAAAATACGACACTAAGTAACCGATAAGATTGAATCCAAAAGATATATTCTCAAAATTGTTATTCCTATGTTAGTAGAGATGTACGCTTCATTGCATTTATTATTCCAAGAAATTGCGTGTTTTTTTGGTTAACAAAAATATATTTAAAGATCGTGTTATAGGTAACAACACATTTATACCAGAATGTTGACGTTGATATGTATAACGGTTGTTGTGGTGTGCCTATTTTACTATTTCATAGTGAAACCTTTCGATTATTGGAAAGACAGAGGGGTTAAACAAGGAGACCATGTATGGATAGCTGGGGACAATTGGAGGACCCTTTTGAGGCAACAGAGCATCGCTGAAATGGTGGAATATGTTTACAAACGGCATCCAGGTCTCAGGTGAGAGAATTCGATACTTTCTGTATTAAGTTATGGACACATAATAGTTGGGTATACTTTTTATGCGACATATATTTTTCGTAGTAATTTGGCCTCCTGAACACGAATCTGGGGTCAGAATTGGCCCATCACTTCACAATTTTTTCCTAACCTCAAAAAACTTGTGAAAAATAGTGAAAATTGATGAAAATTTACTGGGAAAATTTGGAAAAAAATTTATTTCCACATCAAATAGTACATTTTTATGTAAAAGACTCTGCTGAATTCAAATCCACTGTCAGAATTGAGCTAGAACGTGTGGTTTTTTTTCTAACCTCAAAAAACCGAGCAGGAATCGCTATTTTCAAATTCTGAGCGGATTTTGACCAGATTTTGTATAAAGGGGTTTTTTGGGTCGCTGATTACGAATATGAATTCACATTGTAAAAATTCAAGATGGCTGATCCAATATGGCGGGTGTACTTTTTTGAAATCCACCGATTTCAGTAAAATTTGGCATCATAAGGATTGCTGGTTGATCTCACCTTCATTAATCACACATCTGGAGCCAGATTTTCATAAATCAAGGTAAAAGATTCCACTCCGTCTAAAAATGTGACTTCGCTTAAAAAAATGACTTAAGGACTCTACACATGTAATGATGTGTAGTGTGATGTGCTTGTTTCCATGGGACAAGACAAAAAAGTTTCTACTTTATTCTTTCATTTATTTAGTCGTGCATGGGCTTATGGTTTTCCAATCAGATTTTTTTAACTACTATGCAGTTTTCCTATGGCATTTAGATGCTTTTATTTCTTAATAATTTTAAAGTTCAAGGAAAAGGACACATTACTGCCACACAGCACATCACTGCATCTGCTTATGCCTTCAATCTAAAAATGTGACTTTGCCGAAAAAATGCCGCCTACTCGGCCTAAAATTATGACTCTGCCTACAAATTTTACCTTGATTTATGAAAATCTGGCTCCAGATGTGTGATTAATGAAGGTGAGATCAACCAGCAATCCTTATGATGCCAAATTTTACTGAAATCGGTGGATTTCAAAAAAGTACACCCGCCATATTGGATCAGCCATCTTGAATTTTTACAATGTGAATTCATATTCGTAATCAGCGACCCAAAAAACCCCTTTATACAAAATCTGGTCAAAATCCGCTCAGAATTTGAAAATAGCGATTCCTGCTCGGTTTTTTGAGGTTAGAAAAAAAACCACACGTTCTAGCTCAATTCTGACAGTGGATTTGAATTCAGCAGAGTCTTTTACATAAAAATGTACTATTTGATGTGGAAATAAATTTTTTTCCAAATTTTCCCAGTAAATTTTCATCAATTTTCACTATTTTTCACAAGTTTTTTGAGGTTAGGAAAAAATTGTGACGTGATGGGCCAATTCTGACCCCAGATTCGTGTTCAGGAGGCCAAATTACTACGAAAAATATATGTCGCATAAAAAGTATACCCAACTTTTTTTTTTGTGTGTGGCTGTGTATTTTTAATCCAAGAAAAGTGAGTGAAAAAACAGTAACAAAATATTAATTTCTGTATGTTGTATTGCCTGGAAACGGAGTCAGAAGGGCAAAAAAAAATTGGAATTGAAAATAAGGCTTTTGTTATCAAAAACAAATATTTGCTGTTGCATTTTTTACTGTTTTTTAAGGAAATGTTACCACTACTAAAGTAATAAAAAGTTAATTAATCATATCTCTCAGAATCTAGTCCATAGTGACACTGCCTTCGCTATTTTTTAAATTAAAAAAAAAATATTTTGAAAAAAATGAAAAAAATTTTACATCAATTTACATATTTTCTGTGCACAAAAATTTGAAAAATATTGAATGACTATTTCGTATTTTCGTAAAGCTAAAGCTTATTAGTTTCACGTTCTAAAATTATTGTTTTTTTTGCACAGAATCGTGGAAAACAAAGAATGATGAAAATTTTTAAGACAAATAAAATTATTTAAAAAATTCTATTGCTCAAAGTTTTGAGGTTTTTGTAGATATTCAGGCATGTACCAGTTCATGTCCCCAACTTTGGTCATTAAAGATCCGGAACTGATAAAACAGATAACTGTAAAGGATTTCGACCATTTTACCGACCACAGATCTTTCTTCCCTGAAGATGCCGATCCCCTATGGGGCAAGAACCTGTTTTCTCTTAAAGGTAAATTATTGATTTTATACACTCTAGCCACAATATAAACAATTATTTATAGTCCATTTTTTCCCAGATGGATGAAATCATAGATCTCATAATAAATCATCCTAATAGTTTAAGTGATTTTGTAACCATGCAAGATGAAATTCAAGTTGGTGTCCAAGGCAATACCTAGATCTCTCACTTCTGCAGCTGATTCCGGAAGTTGATCTACCTATATTATGTACTATTTATTTTATTTCTTGATATGATGAAAGTTATTGTAAGGTCTTTTTTCTATGTTAAGGGACATCCCATCAGACTGCATATTGTGGCTGGCAATCAAAAACAGAACTAATTTTGGAGAATTTACAATGCTTAAAGCAATACCTTATATCGTTAATAAATATGTTAACTCTAAATGGGACCAGATGACAACCATGTGGAACTCCTGAATATATAACGAACTATCTGTTGTCTATATTGAATATATGAATCAAATCATGATAGTAAAGGTTTGAGAAACCACATACAGCTTATGAATAAAAAATTTATAGTTACCTTGTCAAAAGACAAAAGAACTCATTATAAATTGTATCTATTTGCTCCTTCCTCTCCATTACTCCAGACAAGTAACTTATATAAAGTAATAAAATGAGTTCAGTAGATCTGCCATTCTGTCTGCTTTTGTTACCAGACTTAAATATGAAAGAAATGAAACCCACTTTCCACAATGATGAGGAATAAAGGTCGAGATAAATTAAAACTTCCTTTTTAGGTAGATCATGGCACGACATGAGAACAGTCCTCAGTCCGTCTTTCACCAGCAGCAAGATGAGGACCATGTTCGTTCTAATGTCGGAATGCGCCGAAAATTTCATCCAGCACTTCCTGGAAAAGAACGAGGGTACCATGACGTTAGAATTTAAAGATGCTTACACACGTTTCACAAATGACGTGATAGCCACCACAGCTTTTGGGATTCACGTCGATTCCTTGGGTCAACCAACGAATACTTTCTACATGATGGGAAAGAAGGCAACAGATTTCCGTAGCTTTCGGAGAAATCTGAAGATGTTTGGATATTTCCTAATGCCGAAAGTGTATAATGTAAGTAAAATAATACATTACTTAAATCATTCTGTTGCCTTGTACAACAAAGAAATAATAATTCTGAGCTTATGAACAGTTACCAAAACAGGATAAGTAGGAAAATAAAACTCATACTTCAATCCCTTTTCTGATTTTACAAACAGGCACCTCAAAATTTACATCAGAGGTTGTATCATGCAAATATTTTATGTTTTCGTGTTTTCTAGCTACTGAAGATAAAAATGTTCTCTAAAGATGTGACTAACTTCTTCGTGGAAATTGTGAGTAATACAGTTAAAGTAAGAGAAGAAAAAGGAATCGTGCGACCGGACATGATCAATCTGTTAATGGAAGCAAGAAAGGGAATCCACAGGCAGGCAGAAAACGACGTGATCGACACAGGATTCGCCACTGCTCAGGAAAGTGACTTAGGTAGAGGCAGAATACTTTTATACAAGTAAGAAACTTGAAGTGACCACATATTTTTGTTCGATTTAATCGGTTCTGACCCCTATCACAAAATCGCAATTTTCTCGAAAATGGACGGTTGAAAATTGAATTTGCTAGTAAACTGGTAAACCTTAATTGTAAATTAAGTCAATGTTGAGAAAATTCATAAAATTTTAAGGGTCATCAAACCCTGAACCACCCAAAAGGGGGTGCTGCCGGTCACTTCAAGTTTCTACCAGCTAAAGACGCCAATAAAATAATAGTATATTAAACAACAAGGTTTGAATACAACTCTTTGCACACGAGCGAGACATATTGGTGGACCGAGCCGAAGGCGAGGTCCACAAGTCGAGCGAGCAAAGAGATTTTCCAACGAGTTTTTTACGATACTTTTTATACGACTGCAAACAGAGACCACAAAAATCAAATTTTAATTTAAATCGTTTTTATTACTAAAATTGCCAACGCATTAACAAAATAAATTAAATACAACTTTTAATTTAACTCGTTTTTATTAAGAAAATTGCTAACGCATTAACAAAAGAAACTAATATTTAATATTTATGGTAACATTTGAACATTCCTTCAAGGTTACGCTGGGAAAAGCAGTATTATTGTGCACCTTGTTTTCGGTAATAGAGAATATTTTTGGTGTCGTGTTTTTAGTGCAGTTTTTCAGCGTGCGGTCGTTGTTTTCTTGTTGTATTCCAGTAGACGATCGTTGTTCTGGTTCTGTGGCAGCAGAAGACACTGAAGACTCTATCTTTTTCGAAACTTCCATTTTATTTCTCAAACAGTCATCAACGTAGCCTTCGGCAACTGTACTGGATTTCCACCCTCCATGGCGTTTGAGGGCAAGCAGATTTGAGCCAGAATTGACTAAAATTGTGGCCGATGAACGCCGAAAACAATGTCCCGTGTAACTTTCTGGATTCTCTAGCATCAAAAACTTGGCGATTTCCCTAGCCATGTTTCCAATTTTGTTGATGCCAACGTTTTGGCTTGAACATTTTCCGTTTTGATAGTTTAAAAAAAACCTGCCTGTCTTCAGATTAGGAGGACGAAGAGCACAGTACTTTTTTAAGATAGTGTAAAGGTTTCCTGTAATTGTAAAACACCTTGGTACCTTTGTTTTTGTATTCTTCAGTTTAATCAGCATAGCACTGCCGAAATCTTTGGTGTCTTCTATTTTGAGATAACATAATTCCTCCCTTCGACATGCCCCAGATAGTCCAACTGCCACCACCGCCTTGATAAGTAAATATTTGTCGTCTGATGCTTTCGTCAAAAACCGGCAAAAATCATCTTCTGTGAGGATTTGGGACTTCTTTGGGACGTAGTTTTCGGATTTTCGTTTGATTAGCGCTTGCAACTTTTTATAGCTTCCAAGATCTATGTTGTGATTGGCACTTAACGTTGACTTGAGCATCGAAAAAATCATCCACAACGTCGAAGATCTATATTTCTTAGATAGTTCTTCAAAATACACCATTACTGCGTTTTCTGTGAAAGTTTGGACATTTTTGGCTAGTCGCCAGTCCATAAATCGGCTTAACTCAGCTTCATACCTTCTTCTGGATTTGGTGGGCAGCAGTTTCGAACATATTTCGCTTGCTTTCTGTAAAATCTCTTCAGAATCACACATTTTCACACCCAAACTTCGGGAATTCAACAATTTTTGAAGTATCTAATCAACAAAATAAAGGAGCCGTGACGGTTGCTATGAAACTCAGGCATCTTGAAACATTGCTTAATTTGGGTGACAACATCAAACAAAAATCACAATCAGGAGACGCGTGTGCAAAGATGGCACAACCGTGTGCAAAATGTTTAGCACACGGCGTATGCAAAATACCGTTTTCAGAGCGTGTTTTCCGTGCGCAAAACCCCTATTTGCAAGGCAGTCGTATAAATATATATTTACAAAATTTGGTTGTTCTGTATTAGGATATTGCTTTGGTTCTTTTAGGACATTTTCTGAGACCAATATCCCCGCAACAGTAGGTATGAGAAAAAAAAATCATTTAAAAAATCAACTTGTTTTGGTGTCCTCCACACACACCTGTTCTATATTCATTCAGTTGCGAATCACCCTGTATCTATCTCTGGGTTCAAAGAATTTTTCTAGGATGTCATAGATAGTCATTTGAATATCAAGCTCATTTTTCACGTGAAATAATGTGGAATAACAACCTACTGGAAACCAACTTCATTTAATTCAATTAAACAGTAGTAAGGCCTAAATTATAAAAACAACGGTGTAACATTAAAATATCTTTGACATATGTTTCCAATGCATTCTTACCATGAGAAACAAAACCGCTACGATCTTAGGCATCATCCCAACATAACTTTTTATTGCATCTGCAATGCCTTCCAAGTATTTTCTAGGAAGTTAACTTTGTGAATAAAGCAGATTCATTTTTTAATAATTTTTGGTATCTTTCAGGCAAACCTACCAAACTGCCCAAAGAAATAACAGATATGGACATCACAGCCCAAGCCATGATCTTCTTCTTCGCTGGCTTCGATGGTGTTTCAGGCCTTATGTGTTTCCTGACCTATGAACTAACTGTCAATCCTGACGTGCAGGATAAGTTGAGGGAGGAGATCCGATCTACTCTAGAGGAGTGTGGAGGAAAACTCACATATGAAGGTCTTCTCAAGATGAAGTACATGGATATGGTCGTTTCAGGTTAATAGAGTTTTTTATAAAAAAATTGTTGTTTAATATGACAGCTGTGTTATGTGCCACTGAAAACTTTTGTTACAGAAGCTCTACGGAAGTGGCCCATCGGTATAACCGCGGATAGAATTTGTACAAAACCGTACACCATACAACCAACCACACCAGACGAGAAGTCGTTGCATCTAGAAAAAGGCTCTTTAATTTGGTTACCCATCTTTGGCATACACCGCGACCCAGAATATTTCCCAGATCCAGAACGTTTCGACCCCGACAGATTCAGCGAAGAAAACAAAAGAAATATCAAACCCTACACCTACTTTCCCTTTGGTTTGGGTCCCCGCAACTGTATTGGTTCTAGGTTTGCTTTGCTGGAGACCAAAATCATCATCTTTTATGTTCTCCAGCATTTCGAGTTGGTACCTGTGGAAAAAAGCACAATTCCTCTAAAGATAAGGACAGGGATGTTCAATTTGACGGCTGAAGATGGTTTTTGGTATGGGCTGAAACGCATCAGCGTGTAAACCTGACTAGGAAAATTTATTATGTGTTATATATATTTTTTTACTGAAAATAAGTAAGTAAATAAAGTAAACAATGTTTTCGTATGAAAGTCGGATAGAAGTTTATCTATGGGTTTTAGTAACCTTCCAAATTGTGAGAAATGTCTCCAAATAATAAATTAACAAGGTATAGGACTTTCTTTCCACAAGAGCCCTCAGTTTTAAAATAGCAGTATACAGGGTGTTTTACGTCACAAGCGCACTGGCGCGCGGCGGTCAAAATTCACATAATCTCTTAAATGTTAAACCAATCTTATAAACATTTTTTATTCGGTATTGTTGGTCGGGACAATTGATCTGATTTCGTCTGCTTACAACGGTATCGGCTCTTACAAAGAAAGTTCGTTTTTTACCCTTGTACCATCTCTTCTAATATCATACCAGGTGTAATGCCAATTGCCTATACGAGTATTTCAATAATGTAAACAATGAGCAAGCACTTGACTGCGAATCTATGGACCGCACTTTCATACAGAACCGGATTCATATCATATTCCGATTTCATTTCGTGCGTATCATTCTCGGTTTAATTCTGTTTCTGTTTTGATTGTTTTGGATTAATTTAAGTTGTCTAGTGGCTGATAGAGTGGAAGTAAGAAAAACGAGTAAAAACATACCATATTTTGCATAGAACTTTATCACGTTCTAATAGCACCTGCTTTAACTTTCCTAATTACAGTAGTGATAGTAGTATAGTCCAGTTAAACTAAGTCAGTGTCAGAAGTCATTGACGCTGAAATTCACAAATTAAACACACTGCTTTAAATAAATAGTAATAAATACCTAATTGTTGCTAGAAACTTGAATCTATGTTAAAAAAATATTTTATGTCAATGATAGTATTTTTATGTTTTCTTTTAGGACAGCAAAAATAAATATTTTAAAACTTAAATTAGTTTTACTTCCAGTTAATAACGCAGCTACTGCCAATACTAGTTAATATTTAATAAATAATGCAAAAAAATATTTTTAAATCTATTTCGAAAACCTGGAAATATCAGGGAATTCTTTGGTCAAAATTTGGTGTACGCCCTGTACTTCTGAAAAGCTTGAAAAGATAAAAAAACCTAAAAACAAAATGTAACTACTTTGATAACATTGCCAAAGGTTAATTCCGTTTTATCTCACTATTTTTTTTTTTTAGCAAACAACAACGCATAATAAGTTTTAAGAAGATTATTTATCTCCTCGTCTTTATCTTTGTGATTATACGCTTAGATACGATATGATATCACTTATCACAGAAGTAGGTAAATATTTTTGTTTACGATTTTATTTAACCGTCAAAACATTCATATCTTCTCTAATTATGTTGTAAAACATACTGATTCGTAAGTTACACATAATACTTGCAAATAATAAAGTTCCATAAAATACTTACTTTTGTTTCGGCAAGCTGAATTTATCACTATAGATGGGAAAATAGATAAATATCACTATAGATAGAAAAATGGGGGGAAGATTGTTTACAGGGTGGTTAATTTTATAATTTTTACGTAAATTCACGTTTTTCGCTTATAACTTTTTTCCGTTTATTTCCACGAGAAAACACTAAAGTACTTTTTTTCGTCTTCAAAGGACCTACAAAACTAGCCCTCGAGTGTCAAAAAATATTGATTAGATCAAAAGTTATAAACAGAAGAAGTTTATTTATGACTTTTGAATTAAACATTTATAAACTGCGTTACTATTACCAGAACGTTTTGGCATGGAATCATCTCATTCCTTATCACTGTCTAATAACTCACACGAAATCTGGAATCGGTAAGTTGAATAGTTTACAAGTTATGGCCTTATAAACAAATTAACTAATTATTAGTCTGGACGATCCCGAGGATCTTCCACAATCGCACTGATTTTTTTCATGGTAGATTTCATAATAATACATTGAAATCTATCATTTTTTTAAAATTTATTTGCAACCTGGAATTTTGTTTATTTTTTAGCCTTAGTTGCAAAATGAAATATACGACGCACGAGCGTGATATAGTTATATATTATTACATATTCGGAAAGTTTATGAAAAGAGCTTTAAGTTAAAAAAAAATCGTCAAGATTCGTTGAGAAACAACGGAGTTACAGACTATTAAAGTTGACGGCTTATTGTTAAACAAATTAGATTGGTAGCGGCAAAAAAAATACTGTCATAACCGGCAACCCGTGTATTTCCCCAGATAAAAATATTTTATTTGTGGAAGTATGTTAAGTGCATAAGAAATATTTTCAAAAGTCAGAGGGTCGCTTGATTTTCGGCGAGCCGTAGCGCGGCGAAAGGGTGGGGGAAGCGAACGACAGCGAGTCCGAAGAAAATGACTATATAAATATTCATAGTCCTGCCGTTAAATAAGCGAAATTTGCTTGAATATAAACTGTTATATTTATTTTACTTTCATAGTAAAAATTTGCAATTCATTCATTAACAGTGAAGTATAAAATTTTTCTCCTTTTAACAAAGTTAAAAGCATTTCAACGAAAAAAACAGAAGTATGTTTCGGAAGTATCTAATCGATCAAATGGCTTGTAAACATTTATGAAGGGTCTGTATAATATTGAAACAGACAGTGTTCTACGTTAGTATCAATACTGTACATTTTAATTTTTATGTTGTTTCTGTTATGTAATAAATTACTTTTGAAATAACGTAATTATTTCAAGATCGAATGTCAAATGCATTAGTAATGATCTACTAAAATAAATTAATTAACACAAAACTATTATAAATATAAAAAGTGTTGAAGAGGGAAAAATTATTAGCGAACCTTTTACCTTTAAGACAAAGAGAAAATAGCAATTATAGCATTGCCCCCAACAAAATTATAAGCGCATTAGTTTAAGGATACCCCCTGTATTCTTCACAGTTCAATCTGCTTGTACACAGAATATTAAGACACCCTGTACAACTCACATCACAAGCGATCATTATGGTAGAGACGGCGTTATCATAATGATACTTGCAATTTTAATATGTGTAACATAAATAATTAATTAATTCTGGAACCGTACTTTCAGGTTTGTTTTCATTCATTTTTATTATTTTGATTGTGAATATACAAATNTTGTTTAGTATTTTATTAATTTAGTATTTTAGTATTTTAGTATTTTATTATTTTATTAAACAAAGTTTAAAACAAATTGTGATATTCATCACTTAAATACGAGACAGAAGGATCGATTCCATCTGCCCTACACAAAATATGCTGCTATATCGAAATCACCTGATCATATTGGCTTAAGGATTTTTAATAACTTGCCCGGTAACATTAAGCGTTGTAATAAATTGAATATCTTTAAATATACACTAAAAAATTTTTTAATAAAGAAATGTTTTTATTCTCTTTCCGAATTTTATCAATTGTAATACAATTTACTTTGTTATGTTTGCATTTTATATGTGTGTGTATATGTATATAAGTGTGTATATTGTATATTGTATACTGTGTGTATATCTATATTTGTATTTTTGTATGGGCCACTGTTGTCCATCACATTGACCATTGCTATACATTCATGTAATGTCATATAAGCAAAATAAACTAAATAAATAAATAAATATTAGGACACCCTGTATAACTCACATCACAAGCGATCATTTTGGTAGAGACGGCGTTATATGGCAAGTATCATAATGATACAATTTTAATATGTGTAACATAAATAATTAATTAATTCTGGAACCGTACTTTCAGGTTTGTTTTCATTCATTTTTATTATTTTGATTGTGAATATACAAATACACTGCCACTCCCCCTCACCCCTCCGAGCTGGCAGGTAATTCCACCTGTCTACACTACACCTTTTCTTTCATGAAGGTCAAATATGAGAAATTAAGAACGGGCAACGACTTCAACATTTCACAATATTAGGTCACAGCTTAATAATATATTAGGTGGCAAGCGCCAGATGCGGTTCTTTCTCTCATACCTTTATTTTTACACACATTTACTTATCTGGAACGGTATTTCCGAGAACTGATGACTCAAATTCGAAAGGCCTTTATCTGTAAGTAAGTATTAGCAGATTTAATGACTTAGATAACAGATTCAGCGACATAACAAAGAGATAGGGATCACTGTGTCAAAACTAAAACAACTTGTTTATGGCTTTTACAGCAACGAAAATACAAAAAAATATTTCACAACATGTCTTGTCTGTTTGTATTTTAGTTAAAACTTCTAAGTTCTGATCCGAAAAAAGCTAGTTTATAGTAGTTAGTAGTAGTATAGTAGTAAATAAAAATATGCATGTCAAATTATTTTGCTTTTCGCATATTTCACAATATTAACTCATTTTGTTTTTATTTACCTCTACTTTCTGATTTAAAAAGAGGTAAACAGAAATAACATATGTACTTCAAATCGTTTTCCAGTAATTATTGGTTTAAATATACAAGGTGTTTCAGAAACACCTCCAGTAAATACAGGGGGTGGTAATACGACAAAAAAGATTATTTTAGTGACTAATTAGTCATTACTAACTACAGTCCTTAACAATCACTAAAATTTTGATATAAGGTTAATTAGAGTTTAAAATATTACTAAGAATGTATGCGTTGTTTATGAGACATCCATCAATATGTTTTGACATAAGCCCACTTTGAGAAAAGTGACTTATTTTATACCCCGCAATATAGTAAGAGTTTAATTAAAAGTCTTTTTTCTCGGAAACCGTCCACATTAGGAAGTTCTAACAAGAGTGCATTATATTTAGAAAATAAAATTGTACTTTAGAAATTGGAGCCCGAATGGTAAATATCTTAACCTTAAAAAAGTTAGAACTTAAAATGTAATAGGAATGCAGCATAACTAGCGTCATCTATAAAATATATAAAAAATAATTAGACTAACGTATTTGGCATCCTTAAAAACCCCGGAATGCCAAATTTCATAAAAATATTTCGCACTGTTTGGAAATTTTCGTAAAAATTCTATTTAAAAAAAATTATTTTGTCGCTCTGTATATCGAAAACAGGAGGAGATATACATATAGTTCGTTACCACAAAAAAATCTGATTTTTTATCATACTATTACCCCCTGTATTTACAGGAGGTCTTTCTGAAACACCCTGTACAATAAGCTTACTGCAGTGATGAAGAGATTTAAATATGTCACGGTGTTCGATTTTCGAGGAAAGTTAGATGGCGAAAACCGCATGTTTTTTATAAGTTCGGTTTCCTTTTTACAAAATATCAGTTTCCACAATTTTATTGGGAATTCTATGAAACTAAATAAAATTCTACCAACATTGTAAAATAATCTTCGGAAAATTATAATATCGTATCTGCAACGTCAAAGAAATAAATACGAGCTTTTCTCACTAAAGACAATATTCACGACCTCAGAAATTTTTGTTATAAATGACAGAATCTACCTCAACGCGTTACTTGTTCCTATACACCTGTAGCTGCATGTGTTTTGCTATTTTTTCTTTTTACTAGCTCTTCCTTAACTGGAAATCACTTAGAAATCTATTTTCTTAAATATACATCAATTTCCTGACCATATTAATTATTATTGAATTTATTTACTGGTACATTGGTCAATAAAATAAAAAATAAATAAAACTTAGTTTATAATATTTTTTCCAGTTTGTTTTATTTTGCGATCGTTTTGGGTTTACGCCGTCTTCACAAAAAACAACATCGGAGATTTATTTCCAAATGTTAGTAAAGTATTGTTTAAATTCGTTGATCAATTCAAATTTCTCGTCCCAAAAAAAACCCATATACGAAATTTCACGAAATTAGCTCTCGAAGTAATCGAAACATATTAAGGAGGTATATCGGGGTCCGAGGGAAGCGAGGAGCGTAGGGGGAGTCCTATGCTTTTCTTATGGAACTAAAACCCGCTGCCAATTTGAAAAAATTAAATTCTTTTGAAATTATTTGCGATAAACATTATCTATATAGCAAATAAATCTACTCATATGCACATAGCATACATATTGACTAATTAACAACATAAAAATATCATATTTAAGTAGTTTTAAATTATATTTAATGAACGCATTAAGACTATGTAGATGTGGCAACAGCGCTAATAATTGACTAGCAGTTGTACACACTGCGAACCTACAGACCTCGGACATCGGAGATATTGCGCGTCAAATTCGGGTAAAGATGCGTACGCGTTCAAAAATGTATTGTGTGTAAACTATGTACAATATAATTATTATATATAGCAAATATATCGTATTATCCTCGCGAAGATTTGTATCCTTTATTTAAAATCCGTAAATCATGTGAACTGGTAAAACAACGAGAATTATGTTAATTTAGTTCTAAAGAAATGAAATGACACTCGCGCCCATCTCTCGTCCAAGTCAAAGAAAATGTTGGATGCAATTTTGAAGGTTCTGTGATAGAAATTACATTATTACTCACTGTTCGTGTTTTTCATCTCTATTTTAGTAATGTTACAAAAGTTTTGCAACTATAACTAATTTTTTAGATATAAAGTTTGCTGAGAAATATTTATGTTCCTTTGTTATTCCGTACAAATGCTTTTATCTCAAGTATTACTAATTATATTAATCAAGTAAAGAAAACTTTATGTAACCCTAAATATTGCTGGGTAATGATTACGATGTTTTTATAAACCATTAAATATATTAAAAGGATTTATCAACTGTATTTTTTATTCCAATAAATATATCACAGCTTCCTAGTCTTTTTTAATTAATCTAGTTTTTTAAAAACATTACAAAAAATCATCTGTTGTGGATAATTTATTGTTGATAACAATGTACATGGGATTTAGGAAAAATGTATATGTTTGAAATCAATTTCGTTTTTATCAAGTCTTTCAAATGTATTCCCTCCTTGCTGTCAGCTGATTGCGACGTTGCCACATTAATCCTCAAGTCAGACAGAAATGCAATTATTGGTTTCTGTTTCTAATTAATACAGCTGTACTATGTTCAAAACTTACATTAGTTTTACATCAAAAATAAGATAATACTGTGTTCTATCTATGGAAAAGTTTTGTTTCAAAATTTCTACATTTTTTTCTCAGTTATGGGCAAAAAAAGAGCCGCACCGCCCATCTTCGCCATATAAACCTATGTTAAAATGAACAACTTTCAACAACAATATCTCAAAATCTAGATTTAAAAAAAATCTCAAAAAAATACGACGCACAGAGGGAGCACTGGGTAATACGCTATATAAATTTCAAGTACATCTGTGCATTTCAGTAAACCCGATATACCTCCTTAAAGAAAATGTTATTTATTTTTTCAACTTCAACACCCTCTGTCTCACCAAGGAAACACTTTAGGCAAAAATTTTGTATAAAGTACCCCTACTAATTTTAAGTGTTCTATCTGCTGGCGAAGTTTGTAAGTTCATTTTTCTTACACCCTGTTTTTTGATTTTCCACATTTTGTTACGGTTTGGATTTTCTGTACATCCTTTTGATTTTTCCACATTTTGTTACGGTTTGGATTTTCTTTATCTTTTGCGACTGCTATGAGTTTCGGAATATCCAATGCTTTTATTTCTTAGATAGTTCAACCGATGTTCTCGTTATTTGCGTCAGCTTTTATCATACCTAAGTACACAACCACATCTTTGTCATGGGTTTCTCCAGTTATAGGTTGAGCCCTTATAATTAATATTACGCAATTGTGACATTTATATCTAAATTTTGAAAAGAAAAACGAAAAAAAAATTGGAAGGGATTGTCACCCCACCAGAAGCAGATTTCGTTTGAGATGGTTTCTCAGTGGGTGATTCCGCTTCTATCCCACCAAGCACACCACGTTACCTTCAGCAAAAGATAAACCTTCTTTTAACGTTTTTGAAGAGCAACCACGACTCTTCTCCAGTCACGAGACCCTTCAGAAACAGTGTTTGCTCATTTCTCTCCCATAATTTGGTGGAAATTCGGATCTTTGTTGTTGTCGAAGGGTTCGTGGGAGACCTATCCAGTCAATTTCCACACATTTCCGAGCATTTCGAGACGACGGACGATCGTGGAATTGTCTTCCAAGGCTGCCAGAAGAGCTTGATGAAAACAAAAACCAATTTTGAAAATTGTCCTTTGCAGGCATTATTTTTAATTCGCGGCTTAATTTATTATGCAGAACTGCTCTTGACTCACTACTTTTGCCTTTGAGGGTACGCCGATGCACTCGATTAAAGACATCCGCGAATCAGCGAGGACATAAGTTACATGTTATTGCGTTTGTTTGGGTAACTATCCGATTTTTTAATATATTAACGCTCGGCTCGTGGCGTTGTTCGTACAGATGAGTGATAACGCTCGTGTCGAAGCTATATATCAGACCCATAGCGATCTCGTTAAATGTAATAGTGTGTGTGTCGATTGATTGAGAAAGTTTAAAGACTCGATTGGTTTAAAGACTCGAAAACTCGATTGGTGAGTTTATTTGCCATTTTATGTGTTAAATATTAAAAGATGCGTTTCTATTGTACTGCCACCATTTACTTATTTATTTCAAGGTTTTATCTGACGTTGATTACTGTGCTTTGAAAAGGGAGATTTCTCATTCGGGTGAATTTAATAAATGTTTTCAGAAATATGGAAGAAAAATACAGGGTGTCCGCAAATTTCCCCTACAGCGTTTGACTGCATATGCACGACGATAAATAAATACGGTCCACGAAAAAAAAGTGAAATAAAAACTTTTTGGTTTTTGAGTTACATGGCTTCAAAATTGTCAAAAATAAAACTAATTTAATTAATAACGTCATTAACCGATCGCGTTAAAATTTGGGATATTTATTTGGACCATTATGGCGTATTATTTCTTAAAACTTTAGTCAAATCAATGTACTGGGTGATAGTTTTCTCCGGAGACCTCTCCTTTTAGCAGTCAAAACTTTTACAGTGGTCGCATTTTTTTAAAAACATTGAAAACGTCACTTTATTTAAAAAAATATTGTCTCTTGACAAAATGTGTTCCTTGAGAATTCTCATCACTCCGCACATGCAGAAGTCATTTCGTACCTACAGTATATTTGAAGCAAGTCGATGTTTTTAACAATTCAATAGTTTAAGGTTTAAGGATTAATCGAAGGTCAAATTAATGAAGCCGATAAGAACTATCTATCAGAACTATCAAAATGATATAAATCTTTTTATAGACAAATCGTTGTCCCGTCTGATTTTGAACGCAATATCTTTTAAAACACATGTAACAATTCGTCACTTATTAATTTTGGACATACATATAACTGAATCTGAAATTTTATTAGCTTCAAAAAAATTATAAAATAGCAGTTCCAATACCCAAGTTATCTTCATTCATTATAACAGATTGTATATATGTGTTCCTTATTTCTTTGAAAATATTTAATTTACTATTTGAAGACAAACATAGGTATTCCCACTTTTTAAACAAACTAAAATATGCCCAATTTTTCAGAATATCATATCTATCCAAGATTTTCTATAAATTTTCTTCTAGTCCAGACGGTATCTGTTTCAAAAAGCCATATTTGTGTGAATCGTATATCCACGAAGATTTTTGGCTTTTTGGCTTTCGAATATCACTAAAAATGTAAAAAGCAGCTTTCCTAATTGACGGATTCGAATTTTTCAAAAAAAGTTTGAAAGCTTGAGAGCTCTTCTATATGTGATTAAATTTTCAAGCATCTAAGGGCCTTAGTTTTTGCTGTGCAAAATTTTGAATATTTGCAATTTTTTTTTTCAAAATCTGGATTGCAAAATTATTATGCAAAATCTATCAAACCGATTTTGATGAAATTTGGTGTGATGATTCTACATAACATGAAGTTTTCTTGAGCCAAGTATAAAGGTGCTATGCCCAATATAAATACCCTAAAAAAATTCCCTAAAAAGTACTGTTTTTTAACCCCATTTTTGCGATTTTTTCGATTTTTACCATAATAATCATGATTCATTCGATTTGTAACTAGTCATGTTTTGTAAAAAATTGAATTACAAACATTTTTTTCCTCTTCCATTTTCGCCTAAAATCAACTCTTGAAAAGATACATAATTAACTAGGAAGAAAAATATGACATTTTTCGAATTTTTTTAACATATTGTGCCGCCAAAAGTTAAGCCCAAGTTTTTTTTATGCGCATAGAAAAATTTTCATTTCTAGTGATATTTGAAAGCCAAAAAGTCATCCGTGGATATACGATTCACCCAAACCAAAACAGATACCGCCTAGTCTAATCGTTAAGGATCAATTATTATTAATAGAACACGATGGCTTTATAATAGATCTACTGGTATAAATTTATCAGTATTTAGATAAAGGCTCTCAAGTGGACATTATTTATATCTCATTTTGAACAAACTTGATGATTATAGTTTCTCCTTTTTATTAACGATATTTGTCAATTAGTTGATTGTAATTATTATCTATTTTTTAGTAGATTAAATGAGACAACAAAATCGTATATCTTCATTTCAAATAACTATAAAAAGTTTAGTAACAGCTTTTTAAAAAATATTATAGTATTCGCTTGTTAGGTCCACATTGAAATATGGTTCCATCATTTGGAGTCCATAGTATTGAGATTCCGTGAATGTTCTTAAAATTTTTGTCTTCAAAGAAGTTTGGACCAGAAATAGATACATATAACTTTTTTCTTAGCATTCCAAGAATAAATCTGTTTGAAATCTCCTTTATATAGATAAAAATATTTAGAACTTTATGGCACTTCTGGTTATACCGGGTTATTGAGGGTCACTTTATTCAATATTCCCTATACCTAGGAGTTATAGATTTTGAGATATTAATTTAAAAAAAAATTGACAATAGATGCAAGGGTCAGCGGACATGCTAGTAACTCTTTTCAAGAGTGTGATATCAAGTGGATTTTTGGAACCTGTAAAGGGCATAGGTAATACTAAATTATGATATACCAACAAATTCAAACACTTAATACTAGGTGTTTCATTTTTGCTGTTACATTTTGATAACTTCAAACAGCTGTAACTTTGTTAACTTAAATGGAACACGCCCTGTATATTTTTACTCTGTCGTATGCAGATTGAAATTTTCTTTCAAGCCCTATAAGCATTGTTAGGTTTGCCGATACTACTTTTAGAGATATTTGCAGTTTTCTATTTTTTTGTACAGTTTTCTCGTATCAGTCCTGTTATCAAATTGGCCATGACCATAATATTTTAACTGTGTTGACCCTACTGCCTTTGCTAGGTTGCTATTACACAACTACTAGATCAGGAACATATTTTTTGATAATCTGTAAACGTCTTTTTTTTCTGGTATCTCTGCAAATTATTTTATTTATTTTTATTTTATTTTTTTCTATTATCTCTGCAATTTATTTGATTATTATTTTATTATTATTGTTATTGTTGTAATTGTAATTGTCATTGTTGTTATTGTTATTAATATTGTTATTGTTATTGTTATTGTTATATATTATGTTTACTCGCGTTAAAAAATCAAAACAGAAACATGATTCTCATTAAATATTACCATGCATATTTGCTAATGTCCACAACGTAATATTTACATTCGCGATACCTAGAATTTTGCCACACGTTTGATTCCGAGACATTGCGTGCGTAACTAATTGATACCTATTTGTCGACTTGATATAGTTAGTACGTAGTACAGCTGCTATTTTCATCATCTATCACACTACTTGTCCGACTTTTATTATCTCAAGTTGCAGGTCGGGACTTATCTGAGCGATAAAACAATTGAACTAAAGTAACGAATTATATTAATAGTTTTCACAAGCGCTGATCTTACCACACGCCATTAAGAAGACTATATCTAAACGAATTAATATAAAGACTTCCGTAATTATTACAAGTTCGGAAACGTACTCTACAGGGTGTTGCGATTTAAACTACCCAAACGGACATCTCCAAAACCAAAAGGGATATTTTGTGCAAAATTTGTAATGCACTTAAATAACTTTAGTTTTCAATGAAGGAAAATTGATTTACGTGAAAATGGGAACAATCCGAAAATTCTCTCAACTTTCGAAGTAATTAAAAATTAAACTTTTTTTTAACAATTTAACTGCAACATTGGTTCTTCATATTACATAGTTCTGGTATGAACATGGAAACAAGTTGGAATCAGTGCTAATTATTATTTTTAATAATAAGTTTAGTTGCAATATAAACTGTGGAGACAATGTCCAACTTATTATATTAATTATAATTATATTCTCATTTTCTGGTATATAAGTATACTTATTAAAAATAACCTTCAGATTGAAATGAAACCAAACATCATTAATTGCAGTAATATCATATTTTTTAATAATTGCATCGTATCACGTAATATACATATTATATATTCCGGTATAACCGGAAGTGCTGGGGTCATTGCCATGTTGCATAATTTTCAAAATTTTCAGAGCACTACTTTCCTAGATATCGATCGACGCAGTTCCCATGTGTCCCAAATTGATGGAACAAAATTCATATTTTTTTCCAGTTGAAATTTAAAAAAATCGCTGGAACGGATAAATTATTAAAAAGAAATTGTTACTTTCCTGCAATATTTTCTATTTTTTTGAGCCATTTTTGACATACCCGTAACATTACCGATATTTTTTTAATAGGACGCAAAAAATGGAGGAATTAGATGAAAACAATAATTTAGTACTATTTTTTATTTTATTCCACTTCCACTAACCATTTCACAATGTCCAATTCGATCCTCAAAGTTATCAATTACATTTTGAATAACATTTGGTGTTGTTTCCAACTTCTTCTCTGATAAAATTCGCATACACTTTGCTTTTTAGATAACCCCAGATTCGATCGAGAATAAAAATAAACGTAGTTGTGGCCAGAAATATGTGATCGTCATAAGGAATACCTACGTTGTATACATCAATTTTTAATTGTCCGGAAGGCTCTGGCTACTAACTTTAAAGAGGGAAGGTATGGTTTAATTTTATGAAACAAAAGCAGAGTAAATACACCTAACTTTATTATTTACGTACAACAGTCTTCAAATTAAACATGTGACAAATAGAAAGAACAACAAAAACATTTAACATAAAATGAGAGTGCCAGGCTCGCCTAGAGCTCCTGTGGGGAAAGAGCATGGCAGGGAAACACACGATCAAGAAATGCTTTATTAGTTGTTTTTCGAACAATGTAATAATGACAAAACAAGTTAAACGTGAAACAAAGAAGTTGTTATTGCAATATCTGGGCAGTCACGACAATATATACAAATTTTAACATGTAATAAATAATGAGCAATCTTTAATAATAATTGTAACAATTTTACATTAGAAAAATATACGCCCCTGAGCATAAGACAATGAAGGCTAAACATATACAGAATTATTATCAAGAAACGTCTATAATCATCACAATCATAAGATTATATAGAACAATTAACAACAAAGTACTTAGAGAACAATTACCTGCTAACTAATACGGGTTAAACACTTTTAATTTTTCACTACTTTGCCACACTGCCCGTCGATCGTCTTACTCCCATCTCCACACTGTTCTCACTTCAACTATTTAGGCTTCCTTCCAGAATTCTCCACCTAAGCGTTTGTTTTTGTGCTTCCTTCTACAAACTGTCAATATTACGTTTTCATTATTATACAACCCATGTAACAGGTGACGTCGAAGTTGATACGATAAGTATAGTTTTGCACACCCACAAAAAAATCTAGTGGGGTTAAGTCAGAGGAGCGTGGCGGCCATTCAAGCGGCCCCCTTCTGCCTATCAATCGATTTGGGAAAACTTCAAAGGTGTTATATCACTTTGGAGCCCGAAAAAAAGGCGTTTTTCAAGAATTTTTTTGAGCATTCTTTTATAATGACCATGAACAACCAATACACCAATCGATTAAGGGCGCCATATTCTTTAAATAGTGTTTTCCACAAAGATAGATAATTTCAAACATTTAATAACTGAATAATCTAAAGCTTATCAAATAATAGGAATGTTATGTCATGCCATCTGGGTATTTTCAAAGACGCCGCAGTAAAACGAATAAACAGGTGCAAAAAACGATCAAACCATCAAGGTTTTAGGTACTGATATCTACGAAAATACTAACTTTTTTATATACACCTCCGCATGTAAATATTCTTATAACATTTACTTGCTTAGTCCTACATATAAAATTGTTTACTTTTATTTATTAGTACGTGAAAATAATTCCTAAAATGTGGGATTAGGATAACAGCAAACGCATGTTTTACAAACGCTTTTTTTTACTTATATACATATAACCTGCAAAGTGTGTTATATCTTCATTGTCACAGCTATTGTCAATGTCTATTGGAACAAATCCCACACAATCATTACTTGAAAATTTTGTGATATGTTCTGCAAACTGCAATTTCTGACACTGACTGTTTCAGATCAAAATGTTGCTGTTGGTACTTGGGACGGTTGTCGCTGTGTGTCTATTTTACTATTTCATAGTAAAGCCCTTCGATTATTGGAAGGACAAGGGTGTTAAGCAAGGAAAACCAGTATGGATATTTGGTGACAATTGGGGTACCATATTGAGGAAACAAAGTTTCTCTGAAATGGTTGAATACGTTTACAACCAGTGTCAGGGAGTCAGGTGAGAGATAGATTTATAAATCACCAAAACGATCTTTCCTTTTTTTGTAATTATAAACTGTATCATTAATTTTTACTATATTTTAGAAAAGGGTATTAAGGTAATTCATAGAAATTCAATAATTTTTCTAATAATAAGATTGAATTATGCCAGCAGTATCATCATTTTTAATTTTAATTTCAGATAATTATTAATGATTGGTTGTTTACTAGATATTGTTGGTTATAATTCAATGATAGTTGTGGTAGGGGAATTGTTTTCGGTAATATCAACAGTTAAGAATGTTGTATGTAGGATTAAATATACATATTTTGCATATTCGAGATTATCATTAATGTCACTACGCTATATTATAGGTCAAGCGAATAAAATTTTTACTCGAAAAAATTCAAATTCGCGAGATTATTGTAAAATTATCTAATTGAACATAATACAAGACATCTGTCGTCTCGTAAGTCAAAAAATTTTATTAGCTAACTTTTCTATTTAAATCTATCTAAATTTGAAAATAATTTGTGAATTTTTACTTTAATTTTACATTTAAATCGTAATTAAATAGCTAACAAAATTTTGAAAAAATAAGTTTACTTTGGCTTAATATGTAAAAAAGTAACTTTTTAAATGAACGATAGCTTCATTTATTTATTTAATAATAGTCAAATAATTCCGAAATTGAAATTTTGATTAATATTTCGTTTAACAATAGTTTTTGTGACATTTTTGTAAATTAAAAAAAAAATCCGGAATTCAGGGCTATTCTATGAATTCGTAAATATGCCCATTGTTATTTTTTCGTCGAGGTACCCCAGAATAAAGAAAAAGAAGTTTCTACGATGAATAGAAGCCGAGATATTGCAAAATTTTACAGCGCGCATCAATTTGAACTAAAAACGCACGGTTTTTTAATGCATAATTTGAGAATGTTAATGTCAAAAAAACGGTGATATTTTTTAATAAATCGCTTAATTACGTCTATAACATTACAATGACGCTTTCAGAATCATGTTTGGTTGAAAATTAACGCCTATACAGAGCCTTAAAGCTCATAACTTTTGGAGCCTCCGTTATAAACAAATTGAATTGTGCGAAAATTATTGCACCTACAGCGCCCACTTTTGGCACACTTTTAAAGTATGACAAAACCCTCAACTTGTCATAGGTTTCATAAAATTTTAACAATAAATGCGAAAGTTATAAACAAATTAAAAAATGGGCACTTTTCTTGTTTTTTGCAATAACTTTTTTGTTTATTAACCGATTTGAATTTAACAAGTCTCATTTTGTAGATAATTTTACTCCCTACAGACTATCTGCGAGTCACTTTTCGTTAAAATTGATGGTTTTCCCTGCAAAGTGAAAAAACTGTTTTCCTCACTTATTTGTTTAAATAGAAAAGTTA